TCTAAACATGTTTATTGTCACTAAACTCTATTTCTTTTTTGGGGGGGTGAGGAGTGGGGAGAGGTGTCTATTTAGAAGCAATTTAGCTTTATTTTTTTTTAAATTTAGGCTTTGTTTTTTAATTTTTTTGTAGAGTGTTATTTATTTAATATTTTTTATTTTAATAGCTTCAGGGATACAAGTGGTTTTTGGTTACATGGATGAATTATTCAGTGATGAAGTCTGGGCTTTTAGTGTACCTGTTACCTGAATAGTATACATTGTACCCAACAGGCAGTTATTCATCCTTCACTGCCCTGCCCCCTCTCCACTCCAAATCTCTACCACTCTAGTGGCCTTTTTGTATCCATAGCTTAGCTCCCATTTATAAGTGAGAATATGCAGTATTTGGTTTATTGTTCCTGAGTTACTTCACTTAGGATAATGGCCTCTAGTTTCATTCAAGTTGCTGTAAAATACATAATTTTTGTTCTTTTTTAATGGATGAGTAGTATTCCATAGTATATATACCACATTTTCTTTAACCTCTCATCGGTTGATGGGAACTTAGATTGGTTCCATACCTTTGCTATTGTGAATTGTGCTGAGATGAACATGTGTGTGTAAGTGTTTTTTTGTGCAATGACTTTTCTTTCCCTTTGGGTAGATACCCAGTAGTGGATGGCTGGATTAAATGATAGATGTAACTTTATTTCTTCGAGAAATCTCCATACTGCCTTCTGCAGAAGTTATACTAATTTACATTCCAACTAGCAGCATATAAGATTTCCCTTTTCATCCAATCTGCACCAATATCTGTTGTTTTTTGACTTAATAATGGCTATTCTGGCTACGGTAAGGTGATATCTCATTGTGGTTTTAATTTGTATTTCCCTGGTGATAGGTGATGCTGAACATTTTTTTTCATATATTTGTTGGCCATTTGTATATCTTCTTTTGAGAAATATCTGTTCATGTTATTTTTCCACTTTTTAATGGGAGTACTTTTTTTTTCTCTGCTGATTTGTTTGAATTCCTTGTAAATTCTGGATATTAGTCCTTTGTTGGATGTATAGTTTACAAATATTTTCTCCCATTCTCTTGGTTGTCTGTCTACTGTGTTGATTATTACTTTTGCTGTGCAGGAGCTTCTTAGTTTAATTAGGTCTCACTGATTTATTTTTGTTTTTGTTACGTTTGCTTTTGGGGTCATAGTCATAAATTCTTCGCCTAAGTCAGTGTCCAGAAGAGTTTTTCCTAGGTAGTCTTATAGAATTTTTATGGTTTCAGGTTTTAGATATGTAGACTTTATTTTTTTTAAGAGCAGTTTTTAGGTTCAGAAAAAAATGAGCAGAAAGTACAGAGAGTTACTGTATACCTACTACCCCTATACATGCACAGCTTACCCTACTATCAACATCCTGTACCAGAGTGGTACATTTGTTGTAACTGACGCATCAACACTGGCACATCATTATCACTCAAAGTCCATAGTTTACATCATTAGAGTTCACTTTTGTTGTTGTACATTCTATGAGTTTGAACAAAAGTATTATGACATATAGTCAATGTTATAGTATCATATAGAATAATCACATTGCCCTAAAATCCTCTGTGTCCTAGCTATTTACCTCTTCTTTCCCCATCCCCTGGAGAACAAATTTTTTTACTGTCTCCATAGTTTTGCCTTTTCCAGAATGTCCTATAGTTGGAATTATACAATATGGAACCATTCAGGTCAGGCTTTTTTACTTAATGTGCATTTAAAGTTTCTGTGTCTTTTTAAGGCTTGATAGCTCACTTCTGTTTAGCACTAAATAATATCCCATCCTCTACATTTAATATAGGACGTCTTTATTGCTTTCAAGTTTTGGCAATTATGAGCGCAACTGCTATAAACATCCAATTGTAGGGTTTTGTATGGAAATAAAGTTTCAACTTGTTTGCGTAAATACCAATAAATGCAATTGTTGCATTGTATGGTGAGAGTATGTTTAGTTTTGTAAGGAACTGCCAAACTGCCTTCCAAAGTGGTTGTACAATTTTGCATTCCCATCAGCAATGATGAGAGTTCTTGCTTCACATCCTTGCCAGCATTTGTTATTGTCAGTGTTTTGGGTGATTGCCATTCTTTTTTCTTAATTGAGTTTTTTCTTATTATTCTAAATTGACAAATAATAATTGCATATATTTATGGGGTATATTGTGGTATTTTTGATCTATGTATACATTATAGAAATATTTAATCAAGCCATTAACATATCCATTACTTTATAAACTTGTTTTTGTGGTAAGAACATAATAATATTTTAGTGATTTCGAAGTATATGATACATTGTTTATTAACCATGTTCACCATACAATGCAATAGATCACTAAAACTTGTTTCCAGTCTAACTGAAACTGTACCCTTTGATCAGTGTCTTCCCTTTCCCCATCCCTCTTCCTCCCCCAAACTTCTCTACCTCCATCCTCTTTCTACTCTGTTTCTATGAGAACAACTTCCTTAGATTTCACATGTACGTGAGATCATATAGTGTTTGTCTTTCTGTGCCTGTATTATTTCACTTAGCATAATGTTTTGCAGTTCTATCCATGTTATGGTAAATGACAGTTTCCTTCTTTTTAAAGGTTATATAGTATTCATTTGTATATATTCACCACATTTTCTTTATGTATTAATCTGTTGATGGACACTTGGTTACTTTTATATCTTGGCTATTGTGAATAATGCTGAAACAAATATAGGAGTGCAGATATCTCTTCAACATACTAATTTCAATTCCTTTGGATTTATACCCAGAAGTGGGATTGCTGGTAGTTCTGTTTTCAGTTTTTGAGGAACCTCCATGGTGTTTTCTAGGATGGCTGTACTAACATTCATACCAACAGTGTGCAGATGTTCCCTTTTCTCTACATCCTTGCCAACACTTGTTATCCCTTGTCTTTTAGTTAATAGCTATTCTAAGAGGTGTGAAATAATATCTCATTGTGGTTTTGTTTTACATTTCCCTAATAATTAGTGATATTGAACATTTTTCACAAACCTGTAAGCCATTTGTATGCCTTCTTTTGAGAATGTCTGTTCAGATCCTTCACCCATTTTTGAATTGGGTAGTTAGTTTTCTTGCTTGAGTTGAGTTCTTTATATAATTTGCGTATAAATCCCCTAATCCCTTAACAGATGTATGATTTACAAATATTTTCTCCCCTTCTGTGGGTTATTTCTTCCCTGTCAATTGTATCCCTTGCTGTACAGAAGCTTTTTAGTTTCATGTAATCCCATTTTTTATTTTTGCTTTTATTACCTGTGCTTATAGAATCCTATTCAAGAAATAATTCCCTAGACCAGTGTGGTAGAGCTTTTCCCCTATCTTCTTGTAAACTTTATAGTTTTAGGTCTTGTGTTGAAATCTTTAATGCATTTCAAATTGATTTTTGTATATGGTGTGATATAATGGCCCAATTTCATTTTTCTGCAAGGGATATCCAGTTTTCCCAATGCCATTTATTGAAGAGACTGTTCTTTCCCCATCATGTGTACTTAGCCCTTTGTTGAAAATAAGATTATTGTAAATATTTGGATAATTTCTAAGCTTTCTATCTTATCCTATTAGTTTGTCTATCTGTTTTTATGCCAGTACCATTCTGTTTTGATTACTATAGCTTTATAATTGAAATTATAGAAATTATGAAGAATAAAAATTTTGAAATTAGGAAGTGTGATGCCTCTAACTTTGTTCTTTTTGCTTAAGATTGCTTTGGCTATATGGGGTGTTTTCTGGTTCCATATAAATTTTAGGATTTTTTGATTTCTGTGAAAAATGACCTTGGAATTTTGAGAGGAATTGCATAGAATCTGTAGATAGCATTGGATAGCAGGACATTTAAACATATGAATTTTTTGAATCCATGAACATGGGCTATCTTTTCATTTATGTTTTCTTTAGTTTCTTTTTTTTCCAGTTTTTTTAAACAAAGTTTTATAGTTTTTTGTTAAACTTTCACCAATCTAGCAGTTATGTAATGATATTTCCTTTTAATTCACAATTCCCTAATCACATTATAATGTTGAGCCTCTGTTCATATTCTTACCTACCACACTTCTGTACATCTTCTTTGGTGAGGTGTCTGTTCAACTCTTTAGTTCATTTTAAAATTGAGTTCCTTTTTATTATGTTTGTTTTAAGAGTTCTTTGTATATTTTGGATAGCAGTTCTTTATCAGATATGTTTTTTGAAAACATTCTTTCCCAGACTATGACTTGTCCTTTCATTGATATGGTGTCTTTCACAATTAAAAGCAGAAGCTTTTAATTTAAATGAAGTCTAGCTTATCAATCATTTCTTTCATGGATCATGGCTTTGGTTTGTATCTAATATCTAGTTAATTTTTTATAATAAAAAATTGCTTTGCAAAGAGTATGATAAACTTTTGTACCTCAGTGCCTTAAGAGGCCAGGAGAGGTAACTCATGCCTATTATTCTAGCACTTTGAGAGGCTGAGGTGGGAGGATTGCTTGAGCTCAGAAGTTTGAGACCAGCCTGGGCAATATAGTAAGACCTCATCTCTACAAATAATAAAAAAATTAGCCAAGCATGATGGTGTATGCATGTGGTCTCAGCTTCTCAGGAGGCTGAGGTGGGAGAATTGCTTGAGCCTGGGAGGCCAAGGCTGCAGTGAGTCATGACTGCACCATTGCACTCCGCCGTAGGCAACAAAAAGAGACCTTGTCTCAGAAAAAGAAAAAGTGCTAGATTAAATAACCATTATATTTATTCGTAAATGATGTTCATTTTACAGCTATGTAATGCACTAAGGAAAATTGGAGTTCTTTAGAGTATGTACTGAATCTGGAGAAATAATACAGTAGTGAGTAAAACCTTTTTCAACAAAATTCTCTTTGGTAGCACTATTTGAGAAAGAATGTCAATCTAAAATGAATGGTTTGACCCAGAATGTCATATTTAATATGTTTGTGCAAAAAGAATGTGCTTGATTGTGGCTCTTATATTCCCTAGGCAGAGGAAAATATTGACTTATTAGATGATGGCTCTAATTCTTTTGCAACTGGCTTGCCATCAGGAACTATTGACCACAAGAAATACATCAGGTTTCCTAAAACAATAGAGAAGAAAATTTCACCGGAAATTAGGAGTTTGAACCCAGAATATAAAAAAATGTAAGTTAAAAACTCTGAACTTACTTTATTGATTTATACTTTTGCAAGTTAAGAGTGTCAAAATGTAGCTTATGTGTTCACATAATGTACCATGTGTAGGATCATTCTTTCAGTAGCACAATTTAAACTCCTAAATAGCTGTTCTTACATTTTTTCTGACTTCTCTCATAGCCATGTGGAAGCCTATAGGCTTCCATGTTGTGTAGTCAGTTCTTACATTGTTATAAGAACTGCTTGAGATTAGGTAATTTATAAAGAAAAGAGGTTTAATTGCTCATGGTTCTGCAGGGTTTACAGGAAGCAAGTCTGGGGAAGCCTCAGGAGACTTAGAATGGTGGTGAAAGGTAAAGAGGAAGCAAGCATATCTTCAAAGGCCAGCAGGAGAGAGAGTGAAGGGGGAAGTGCCACAGGCTTTTAACCAAACACATCTTGTGAGAACTCAGTATCATGAGAACAGCAAGGGGGAAATCTGTCCCTATGATCCAATCACCTCCTACCAGATTCCTATCCCAACACTGGGGATTACAATTCAACATGAGATATGGGTAGGGACACAGAGTCAAACCATATCACATGTGGAAGCCTATAAGGAAGCTGTAAGCTAACTGGAATCATAGAATTCCAGTATCCATATGTCTGTTAAGTTTGTCTTAAAGAGAATTTAGGAAGGAAACAGAAAGTTCTCCTCTCTAGGCTTGGCTTTGTGCTTTCCATGAAATTAAGCTATTTGATCCCAGGTTCAAGCAATTCTTCTGCCTCAGCCTCCTGAGTGCCTGGAACTATAGGCATGCACCACTATGCTTGGGTAATTTCGTTTTTTTTTTTTTTTTGTAGAGACGGGATTTCACCATGTTGTCTAGGCTAGTCTCTAACTCCTGACCTCAGGTGATCTGCCCGCCTCAGCTTCCCAAAGTGCTGGGATTACAGGCATGAGCCACCATTTCTGGCCAGTTCCTATAATTTACTGGATCTAGTTATTTGTATAAGTAGCTGCTAATACCACAAATAGCCAATTGGACATTATGTACTTCCTGATGGCATAACATCACCACCTAGATAGTGATTTTGCATCTCCCTCAAATATTAAACATTCATATGTTCAATCCTCTAGAATCCTACAACCATGGTGATACAATCAGCAAAATCCCAACAGTGGAAAATCAGCAGGAAAAATGACCTAGTAATAATAATTATAATGATAATAAAAAGTATAGAAGGAGAACTTATAGATGAAAAGAAGTTTAAAAGACATTTCAGTCAACTGTGATGCTGGGATTTTATTGAGTCCCAATATAATATGTTAAAAAATGTTATGAAATTTATGAGACAACTAGAAATGTAATTACTACCTGTATATTTGATATTAAGAAATTGATAATTTTTTAGCTGTCATATGGTGTTTTTGTTTTGTTTTGTTTTGTTTTGAGATGATGTCTTGCTGTGTCACTCAGGCTGGAGTGCAGTGGCTGGATCTCAGCTCACTGCAACCTTTGCTTACCAGATTCAAGCAATTCTTGTGTCTCAACCTCCTGAGTAGCTGGGGCTACAGGCATGTGTCACCATGCATATATATATATATATATATATATATATAGTATTTTTAGTAGAGACAGGGTTTCACCATGTTGGTCAGGCTGGTCTTGAACATCTGACCTCAAATAATCTGCCCGTCTTGGCCTCCCAAAGTGCTGGGATTACAGGTGTAAGCCACTGCACCTGGCCCATAATCGTGTTTTAAATTTAAAAAGGCACATTGTAGAGATTTTTATTAAAATCTTTAGAGGTGAAATAATATACTGTGATTTATTTCAAAAATAATAAGGGATGGGAACAGGGATGGGATATAGATGGAATAGGATTAGCCATTGTTGAAATTGGGTGATGGAATTCTGTATACATTTGTGTATGTTAGAAAATTTCCATAATTAAAAGTTGAAAAGAAAAAGCAAAAGTAAAAAGAAATTCAAGAGTGATTCAATTTCTGTGTAATTTAGGTTTGAAACATCAATATTCCTTTGTGGAGAAGAAAAGTCCTCTGATTTGGCAGAAGAAAAAAAAGTCAGGAGAAAGAGTTTACAAGTACAACAGTACAGCAAAAGAACTGAGGTAAATACAAATTTGGAAATTTTTCTTTTATTTTCAAGTGTTCTCCTTAGCCTTCAAACATTCCCTTATATTTTTAGTCCATGTGTTGAAATGTCACAGTCTTAAATATTACTACTTGCTCTTGCTCCTCCTTTTCTCCACCTGTTTTCCTTTTCCTTCTCCTCCTTTAAAAAAAAATAGAACAAGGAATCTTTTCAGAAGCTTATGAAAAATTTGCCTTTATTCTCTATTAAGCGATTTTTTTTGTCTTTTTTACTGTGCTCTCTGCTAACATTTTTGATTTTTTAACAGTGATCCTAGGTGTTCATTGGTTTGTGGCAGCATAACTCCAAACTTGCCTCCATCTTCCCATGAGTCTTCACATGATCTTTCTTCCTGTATCTGTATCTTATCTCCTTATTCCTTTCTCTTATAAGCACATCTGTCATTGTATATTTCATTTCAAGATCTTAACTTCATTACATCTGCAAAGACTTTTTCTCCAAATAAGGTAACATTCACAGGTTTCAGATATTAGAACATGGAATATCTTTTTGTGTAGTCACCATTCAACTCACTATGATATACTTAGAGGTATATTTCCTTTTTTCTCCTCTGTCTTAGTATTTGCTGTGCTTCTTAAATCTGAGAATGCATGCCTTTCTTCAATTCTGGAAAATTCTAATATATTATCTTTTAGAATATTTATCCTCCTTCAATCTCTTTGCTGTCCTTTTTTTTATCATCTATTAGATGTGTATTAAATTTGTCTTCCTGTTTTCTATATTCTTTAATGTTGCTTCATATTTTAATCTATTCTGTCTTTCTTTTTTGCTCTTGGTAATTTCTACCCATCTACTTTCTAGTTCACTTATTCTTTATCCAGCTGAATCTAATCTGCAGTTTAATCTTTCCATTGAGATTTTAATTACAGTGATTCTGTTTTTTACCTCCAGAAGTTTTATTTGGTGATTCTTAAAATATGCCCTATGTCATGTTTTTCGCTCATGTTCCATAGTTATTTCAAGATTGATATTTGATCAATTCAATATATGAAGTTCTTGGGGGATCTAAATGTTGTATTTATTGTTTTGTCTGATTCTCACTTATGTTAAGTTATATCTTTGGGTGTTACATATATCTTGTACATTCTTTCATATATAGTTGATCTAAATCTGTGGGAATCTTCAGTTTGCCCTTCTTCAAGATAATTTTTAAAACGAGAATTTGCATTTGCCTCTGCTATGCACTTCAGAAGTGTTACAAATCTGAGATCACTTTAAATGAATTTTTTGGTTTCTGTTTCCCTGGCTCACATATTTAGTGTAGATTTGAATTCTAAACTCATATGTATGTAGAGTTATGATTATGACTGATTAGCAGGAGTAGTATTCCTTTTTTTTCAACCTGGAGCTGGGATACAGACATATTTTAATCATACTTTTTCATTGAGGGATAAGTTTTTTTCCCACTCTTGATGAAAGCATCATCTTTTAAAGATTTTGGTTCTATGCGGCATCTCAGTACCAGTTCCTGTCAATCTTGTGTAGTGTGAGAGTCTTTTTTCCACATCTTGCATGGCCATTGAAACTCAAGGCTTAGGGTTCCATGTAAAATTGAAGACACCTATAGAGTTCTCATTTTCTAAAGTGGTACTTTCCTATCCACCTAGCTACTTGCCTTTTTGGATTCATGTTTATACATGCAATCTTAAGTGGATAATTTACTTAATGATAAGGATAATTGAAAACAAAATTACCTATATCATTTGAATATCTGTGTTGATTCTCCACATTGCACGTAAGTCAAAGCCTTTGTATATAGCCTGGAGTCTGGTGGCTGAGTCATCTTGTTTTCTCTATACCATAGGTTTGCCCTGCTTTGTAAAATCCAATTCTATATATTGACCAAATATTAATGACATGATTAATTGCATACTTAAGAAAACCGTGGCTTTGCAAAAGAACATTGTATAGTTTATATACAATTTTAGTTTATATTAAATGTAATTTAATTACAAAAGGCAATTTTACACCAGAAGCATAATTAATGAGGAGCCAAGGTATGATTAATTATCTTTTAAGTGTTGTATCATCCAAGAATGCTGAATTACCATTGTGATATCAGGCACCAACATACATGCGTTTGGCTCTAGATTGGCCTTCCTTTTCTGAAACTGTCAAAGGAGAAGGTGACTAGGAAAGAAAACTCTTTACACAAGTTGCCGAATCAGTACAGCGTTCACAAGACTTCATCACCCCTTTGTACATCTTCCTCAATTACTCGGTATTTAAATCCTTGTACTATATTTCTTGAATGTTGGGTTCAGACTTGGGTGTTTCTCTTCAGAATCATTTATCCCTTCCACATAATGAATGTCAAGTAGTTTGTGCTAACTATGCTCTTAGGATTGTGTAGAGATAAGAGCACTGTATGTGGAATTGGAGGACTTAGATTTGAGTCCTGATTGACCTCACATGCTTAGACTTTTGTAAAATTTGGATCTCTGGGCCTCACTTTCGACATCTATATAAGGATCTTGTACTAAATGAACTCTTAAGATGTCTTCAAACACTAAAAGTATATGATTTTAATTATTTATATGTTATAGTATTAGATAATCTTTTCCAGACATTTTTACTGATAGGTGATGGAATCTGAGATTCTTTGGCTGTTTAAAGATGTTCTTCGTTTGCTTTATTGTAATAACTTTCTTAAAAATTTGCTGTGACTTGGATTAAGAATAGGAAAAACTGGACCATAGTCAAAGGATAGTGGGCCATGGGCACTATTTACAGACTAGGGTAAATTCTGCTTTACAGAAAAATATCTCGAAAAGAAATAAGGTGGGAATTCTGAAGTAAAGAATATGAGATTCTCTGTAACTTGGACAGTTCTTCAAGAAAGGCTCTTATGAATCTCAGACTATTGATAGGTTTGCTCAATAGTATTTTAAAATGATATTTTAAAATATTAAATATTTAAATATCTATTAAATATTTTTAATAGATATTTTAAAATGGAATTTGCATATTTTCATTGCTGCTTTCTAATATGCATGTTTCTTTGACAGAAACAAGGAAATGCTCTCTAACCTCTACCTGACATTATATGGTGAAGTAACCCATGGATATTTGTACTCCCAAGAATTAAGTGGTAATAAGAGGTTCTAAAATTTCTTGAATACATTTCCTGATTATGTGCTTTTTAGGAATTCTTTCAGCAGGTAGTGCCTCTTCTTCTACTCCTAATGGCTTATGGTATCAACTGATAACACATGATACAGCAAATGCTGCAGGCTGTAAGGAGGCAAACATGGATAGTTTAATCCTTAAATATCTTTTGTTATATTGGTAAGATAGGCAAAATATGTAGCTTATACTAGTTCAAGTGTATTTTTTGGAAAAATATCTACATGTTACATCCCATGGATATATTAGTAAGTTCTGGAGCCACTGATATCACTGGAATTTAGTCTTTGGTATCTTAATATGAAGGCTTATATTACCCTATACTCCTTTGTGATACTGACTTCTGCCATATTCTTGGGCTTCTCCTTTATATTTATGGAATAATTTGGCATAGTTTTCCTTTTATGTTAACTCTGATTGTCATAATAAGTATCTTAGTGTCCAAATGGGTGACTCATACTGCTCTAGCTTCAAACTTTCCAAACCAATTATTTTACCTTGATTCCTCTGACCAACACTGGTCAGAGTGATTTGGCCACAAATCACATACACATTTTTATTACGTGAAAATCTGAGGCTTTATGTCTTGTTCTTCACTCACAATCTCTTATATTTCCAGCTCTTATGATTTAGAATTTTATTTCCTTGACCTCTCCATTTGGTGCCACTATGATTGATTTCCAGCCTCAGCTGCCCTTAGCACCAGTTGGCATTCCCTTTACGTTTTGGTGTGATCTCTCCTGTTTCCTTTGGCACCTTTTCCAAACCTTCACCACTCTCCTCAAATCCTCAATTATGTCACCTATCTAACTCTAAACATTTAAAAATGTTTTACTTAATTAAAATAAAATTAATTGTTTTCATTAATTGCTCAATTTTCTCACTTCCCATTTCATGGAAATCTGCCTTCCACCTTCAAAATTCTATTAAAACTTATTTTATTAAAGTCATTATTATTAAGTCTTTAGTCTTTCTTTTGTATTTAGGACTGTCAGGGCTGGGTGAGGTGGCTCATGCCTGTACTCCCAGCACTTTAAAAGGCCATGTGGGAGGATCATTTGAGACCAGGAGTTCAAGACCAGCCTGGGCAATATAGTGAGACCCCATCTCTATAAAAAATAATAAAACCAAAAAATTAGTTGGGCATCTTGGCACACACCTGTAGTCCTAGCTACTTGGGAGACTGAGACTGCAGTGAGCCATGACCACACTACTGCATTCCAGCCTGGGCAACCAAGAAACTCTGGGTTTAAAAAGACAAACGGACAAAAAGCACTATCATTGATTGCCTCTTTTCTGAAAATAAAGTGTAGTGTCCACTGAACCAAAAAAATCAGTTCAACAGAATTTTTTATTTTTTGAGAATTTATTCTGAATTAGGCACTGGAAACAGAAGAATGAAAAATCTTGCTCTGTAGAAGCTGACAGTTTAGTGAGGGGTTTTGACATACAAGCAATCATAATGCCAAGGGCTTTGACTGAGATACATAGTAAGTGCAGTGGGAATACAGAGGAGTGATTTGCTATTCCCAGGGCAACTTGTGGAAGCCTTTGCCTAGGTGCCCTTGTGTGACTTTCCTGACAGTTTCTGAAAGTTCTTTAGGAAACAGGTTGAAAGATTTGAATATTAAAAGAATGAAGGGGGTGGGATTAAAAAAAAAAGAAGGTTGAAAGGCTGAAAGTACAAATTTGCTCCCCTTTCTTTTAGCAATTATTAGTTTTTTTAGAGACGGTGGGGGAATAAAGATAATTATTCTTTTTGAATAACTAACTAAATGTTTTGTTATGTGTGTGCAGCACTTCATAAAGCCTGTACAATTTTTAGTAAAATTCGAAGTGGTAAGATTTATGTGAATGATCTTCCAGTGATACTTTGCATCTTGAAAATTTCTATAAGTGATTTAGAAATGCAACAGGCACTAAAGACTATTGATATTGATGGTAAGTTTTATATTTTCAGTATTACCTTAAGGGTCTGCAGTCATAAATATGTTATGTTTGTCAGATTAATTACAAATGATAGGAAAACTAAACCTTAAAATGTATTATAAAAATATCATTTTTGGTCATATTATATGTTATAAAACATTTTTATATGTTACAAGAACATTACTTACAATAATGATATTAAAATTGGCCTCAGGTTTGTGTAATTGGGTTGATTAATTACTGGATTGGATTATATTGGTCCATGCATGGTCTACTCTTATTTAGTTATGTAATTTTAAAAAGTAAAATAAATACTTGACCTAACCACCCAAAATAAAAATTAGGACCTTGTCAATAATTTACCTCTAACTATAAAGTTTACTAAGCAACTTATTATTCTGTTTTTCCCAACCTGATTACCTCAGGTTGGAAAAAACAGCATTATCTTGAATCCTATGTTCATTATTCTCCTTTTTTCTTTTTAAATAGTATTATTGTTATGGATATGTATTTTTGTAAAATAGTTCAAAAATTTTTGTTGCTTAAAAACTTCAGTAAACAGTTCTTCATGATGTATATAATCTTTTGGAGACTTTTTCACTTAATATTATATGACTAAGATGTATTCATATTGTTGTGTACTGCTTTTTTTGTATGCTCCTACTACCCTTGAATTGATCAGCCTTTAAAAATTATGGTTCTTCTAATAGATATACAGTTATTATCTGATAGTGATTTTAGTTTGCATTTCTGAATGATTAAATTATGTAGAATATCTTTTCATGTGCTTACTTGCCATTTGTATATTTTTTGCCCATTGAAAAACTGTGTTCTTATTATTGCATTTTGAAATTCTTTATATCTTCTGAATATAAGTCCTTTATTGGATATGTGATTTGCAGATATTTTATTCCATTCTGTTGCTTGTCTTTTTATTCTCTTACGAATGTTTTTTGAAAGCAGAAGTTCATACTTTTGTTGAAGTCCAGTCTATAATTCTTTCTTTTATGAATTGCTTTTGATACCTTATCTAAAAGATCTTTGCTAACTCAAAGTCACAACAATATCAGAAAACAAGTCTAAGTAGTTTATTAAAATTTGGACAGATGTTTTACTGTTTTTGAAAGAAAGGAGTGCCCACTCTCAAGTTGTTACACTGAAGTGGAGGCAGACAACTTGACAAACTTTTCAGTATTGGAGAAAGTGCTTCTGTGGAACAGAAATGAGAACAACCAAGCCTTGTCATTTTCTCTGCAGATGAGTGGAAGCACTGAAGTGTTCTTCCATAGGTTATTTTTGTTCAGATGACATTAAATTGAAATGTAGATTTATACTTGTTTTCTTCATGACATAGATAACATCATTGATGTAAATAAACCCTGTCAAAGTTAGCCTCATTTACTTAATGACAGGAGGAAATGAAATCATAGGTATTTAACTTGAAGAATCTTGAGGAACTAGCACTGCAATATTTACAGTACTAGACCCATAGCATTCTTATTACTGCTGGAGCACTGTTTACTATGTAATTACAATATGTAAATTTTTTTCTGGTATATTTTCTTTTTACGTTCTCTATATAATGTTGGTTACTGTATGTATAGGTAATGGCATTCTAATGTCATTGTTAATTCCATTTGTGTTTTTAGTTGCCATTTTTATCTTATGTTCTTAGTGAGTTTCCTAATAATGTTTGCTGATGGAGTTTTTTCCCTTCTGTTTTGGAACCATTTTTATAGTTAACGGAATGCTGGATTTTTCAAATTTTCTTAAAGCTGTGACTGATGTTTCTTATTTGGTCTCTCAGAATTCAGGTAAAAAAGACTTCTTTAAAAGTATAGAAGATAATTTTGTAGCTGATTTGGGGTTGGGCAGGGTAGTATTTAATTTATGAATTAATTTATATTTTACAGAATATCTTCCTTTTTCTCCCACTAGTTTAGGCTGAGAACAATAAAAGGCATTATAAAACCTGGCTCAAACTGCCCCAGTATCCTAACTTTCTATCTCTAATCTCTAGTTTTTCCTGCACATTAACTGCTAGACTAATTATCTTAAAACACTATTTTCATCATGTCATTTTCCTGCTCAAGAATTTAGATGCTCTTGCTACTATCAAATGAGTCTAGACCAAGCTCTCATGCTTAGCCTCCTCACCCCTCTTCATAATTTTGTTCATCACTCTTTGCTTTATCACAGAACCTTTTCTAGGCAAGAACCCCATACTCCAGTTAGTCATAAATCTCCATACTTGCCAATATAGTTCTTAATCTCATGCCTTTGTTTGTGTGCTTGTTTTTTTTTTTTTTAACTGTTGAAAGCTCACATCTGTTTTCTTCCTCAGCCTGACAGTACTTTGTTCCTTTTGCTGGGAATCTGCTTGTATTTCTTCCTAAAACTTTCATGTATTTATGGGTCTCCTAATAACCTTTAGTTTATATTACCTATGCATTATAAATAAAGTGGTTGGAAAGAGTATTTGTGTTAATGGTAGAAACGGTACCTCCAAAAACATGAAATTTGTGGCATTCATGACCTGATGTTAGCAATTCTTCTATTCCTCCATTAGGTGATATCAAGTTCTTATGCTCAGTCCTTGGAATTACAAATTTTAATTTTTATTTGTATTAATTTAAGGGGTGCAAATGCAGTTTTGTTGCATAGATATATTGTATCCCGATAAAGTCTGGGCTTTTAGGGTAACCATTATCTGAATAGTTATACATTGTACTTATTAAGTTATTTTTCATCCTTCACCCCCACCCACACTTCCAAGTCTCCAGTAACTATTACTGCATGCTCTATGTCCATGAGTACACATTTCTCTCACACCTATAAATTAGGCTCCTATTTGTAAATGGCTTTCATTATCTTAAGTGAAATAACTCAGAAACAGAAAGTCAGAGAGATAATAGCTTCATCCATGTTGCTCTAAAAGATATGATTTCATTCTTATGGCTGAATAGTATTCCATTTGTGTGTGTGTGTGTGTGTGTGTGTGTACCACATTTTCTTTATCTAGACATGCACTGATGGACACTTAGGTTGAATTTACATCTTTGCTGTTGTGAATAGTACTGTGATAAGCATATGAGTGCAGGTGTCTTTTTGAGATAATGGTTTCTTTTCCTTTGGGTATATACCTAGTAGTGGAATTGGTGGATAAGATGGTAGTTCTGTTTTTAGTTCTTTGAGAAATCTCCACACTACTTTCCATTTTTTCATAATGCTCATTTGGCCGTTTATATGTCTTCTTTTGAAAAACGTCCATTCATGTCATTTGCCCAATTTTTAACAGGTTATTTGTTGTTTTTTGTCATCATTGAGGTGTTTGAGTTCTTTGTAAATTCTGGATATCAGTCCCTTGTTGGATGCATAGTTTGCAAATATTTTATCCTATTCTTTAAGTTGACAGTTCATTCTGTTGATTATTTCTTTTGCTGTGCAGAAGCTTTTTAGTTTAGTTGTCTCATTTGTCTTTTTGTTGTTGTTGTTGTTGCTTGTGCTTTCGAGTTCTTAGTCATGACCAATGTCAATAAGAGGTTTCCTTAGGTTTTCATCTAGTATTCTTATAGCTTCAAGTATTACATTTAAGTTTAGATCCATCTTATCACTTCATTACATTTACATTTAGATCCATCTTGAGTTGATATTGTATATAGTGGGAGATAGGGGTCCAGTTTCATTCTTCTGTGAATGGCAATCCAATTTTTCCATTACCGTTTTTTGAAAACAGTGTCGTTTCCCCAGTATATGTTTTTGTCAACTTTGTCAAAGATCAGTTGGCTATAGATACAAAGCTTCATTTCTGGGTTCTCTTTTCTGTTCCACTGATTTGTGTGTCTACTTTTATACCAGTACCATGCTGTTTTGGTTACTATAGCCTCATAGTATGATTTGAGGTCAGCTGATGTGATGCCTCCAGCTTTGTTCTTTTGCTTAGGATTACTTTGGCTATTTAGGCTCTTTTAGTTCCATGTGAATTTTAAGATTATTTTTCTATTTCTGTGAAAATGACATTGGTATTTTGGTAGAGATTGCATTGAGTCTGTAGATTGCTTTGGGCAGTGTGATCATTTTAATGATATTAAACTTTTGATCCATGAGCATGGGATGTTTTTCCATTTGTGTCATCTACAGTTTATTTCATCAGTGTCATGTAGTTTTCCTTGTAGAGATCTTTCACCTCTTTGGTTAAATGTATTCCTAGGTCCCCCTTTTTTTTGTAGCTAAGGTAAATGGCATTGCCTTCTTGATTGGTTCTCAGCTTGATATTAATGTATAGAAATGCCACTGATTTTTGTATCTTGATTTTATCTACTTAAACATTACCAAATTTGTTTATTAAATCTAAGGGTATTCGGGGAGGAGTCTTCAGGGTTTTCTCAATATAAGATTGTATCATTAGCAAACAGACATAATTTGACTTCCTCTTTTCCAATTTGGATGCCTCTTATTTTTTTTTCTCTTGCCTAATTGGTTTGGCTAGGACTTTCAGTAATACATTGAATAGGAGTGGTGAAAGTAGGCATCCTTGTTTTATTTTGGTTCTTAGGGGGAATGCTTTAAACATTTCCCCATTCAGTAGAATGTTGGCTGTGGGTTTGTTATGTATGGCCTTTATTATTTTGAGGTATGTTCCTTTTATAGTGAATCAGATTTTTTTTTTTTTTTGAGATGTAGTCTTGCTCTGTTGCCAGGCTGGAGTACAATGGCACAATTTCAGCTCACTGCAACCTCTGCCTCCCAGGTTCAAGCGATTCTCTTCTCTCAGCCTCCCAGGTAACAAGGAGCATGCACCACCATGCCTGACTAAATTTTTGTATTTTTAGTAAAGATGAGGTTTCACCATGTTGGCCAGGCTGAACTCAAGTGATCTGCCTGCCTTGGCCTCCCAAAGGGCTGGAATAACAGGTGTGAGCCACTGCACCTGGCCCAAATTTTATTTTGTTAGAATCAAGGACATGTGAATGTCATAGTCTTTATATTCCTGGTTTAGAAAGTAAAAGGCAATAAAAACTTTTCAATGATTATTTACTCATTTATGTAATAAACATTAATGCCTGTATTTGCAGCAGTGAACAATACAGATAGGATGCTTAGCTTGCTTTATCTTTTGGTTTCCTTATTTCCTATTTGGCATTTTGTTAGACTCCATGGCATTAGGATTTTCTTGGTTCTCTTTTGTCTACTTGGTTTTTGGCTTACATTTTTTTCTTGTTTCGTTTCATTTAGTTCTTCTCTGATCTTAGTTATTTCTTTTCTTCTGCTGGGTTTGGGTTTGGTTTGCTCTTGTTTCTCTAGTTCCTTGAGATGTGACCTTAGATTGTCTATTTGTGCTCTTTCAGACTTTTTGATGTAGGCATTTTATGCTATTAACTTTCCTCATAACACAACTTTTGCTGTATCCCAGATGTTTGATATGTTGTGTCACTAATATTGTTCAGTTCAAAGAATTTTTAAATTTTTATCTTGATTTCATTGTTGACCTGATTAGCCAAAAGCAGGTTATCTAATTTCCCTGTATTTGCATGGTTTTGAAGGTTCCTTTTGGAGTTGATTTCCAGTTTATTCCACTGTGGTCTGAGAGAGTGCTTTATATAATTTTAATTTTCTTAAATTTGTTGGGACTTGTTTTGTGGCCCATCATCTGGTCTATCTTGCAGCATATTCCATGTGCTGAGGAATAGAATACATGTTTTGCATTTGTTGGGTAGAATGTTTTGTAAATTTCCATTAGATCAATTTTTTTCTGGAACATAGCTTAAGTCCATTGTTTCTTTGTTGACTTTCTGCTTTAATGACTTGTCTACTGCTGTAAGTCGAGTATTGAAGTCCCCTACTACTGTTGCCGTCTATCTCATTTCTTACGTCTAGTAGTAACTGTTTTATACATTTGGGAGCTCCAGTATTAGGTGCATATATATTTAGGATTGTGATATTTTCCTGTTGGACTACTCCTATTATTATAAAATGTCCCTCTTTGTCTTTTAAAACTGCTTTGTTTTGTCTGATATAAGAATAGCTACTCCTGCCTGCTTTTGGTGTTCATTTGCATGGAATATCTTTTTCCACTCCTTTTCCTTAGGTTTATGTGAGTACTTAAGTGTCAGGTGAGTCTCTTGAAAACAGCAGATACTTGGTTGGTTAATTCTTATCCATCTGTCATTCTGTATCTTTTAAGTGGAGCATTTAGACCATTTACATTCAATGTTAGTATTGAGATGTAAGGTACTACTCTATTCATTGTGCTTTTTGTTGACTATTTTGTGTTTTTTCCCTTGTTTTATTGTTTTATAGGTCCTATGAAATTTATGCTTTAAGGCGATTCTATTTTGGTGTATTTTGAGGATTTGTTTCAAGATTTAGAGCTCCTTTTAGCAACCAGTAGTGCTGCTTTCTTCTGGCTTGTAGGGTTTCTGCAGAGAGATCCACTGTTAGTCTGATGGGCTTCCCTTTGTGGGTAACCTGACCTTTCTCTTCAGCGGCCCTTAACATTTTTTCCTTCATTTCATCCTTGGTGAATCTGGTGATTATGTGTCTTGGGGTTGCTCTTCTCGAGGAGTATTTTTGAGGTGTTCTCTGTATTTCCTGAATTTGAATATTGGCCTGTCTTGCTAGGTTGGGGAAGTTCTCCTGGATAATATCCTGAAGAGCGTTCACACTCATTTGTCACACTCATTCTCTATCCAGTTTTGTTCCCTTGCTGGGGAGGAGTTGTGATCCTTTGGAGGAATAGAGGCATTCTTGTTTTTTGAATTTTCAGCCATTTTGCACTGGTTTTAAATCATCTTCATGGATTTATCTATCTTTGGTCTTTGCTGTTGGTGACGTTTGGATGGGGTTTCCGTGTGGATGTCCTTTTTGTTAATATTGATGCTATTCTTTTCTGTTTGTTAGTTTTCCTTCTAACAGTCAGGACCCTCTGCCACAGGTCTGCTGGAGTTTGCTGGAGGTCCACTCCAGACCCTTGTTTTCCTGGGTATCACCAGTGGAGGCTGCAGAACAGCAAATATTGCTGCCTATTTCTTCCTCTGGAATCTTTGTGCCAGATGGGCACCCACCAGATGAAATGTCTGTTGACCCCTGCTGGTAGGTGTCTCCCAGTCAAGCAGCACAGGGGTCAGGGACCCACTTGAGGAGGCCGTCTGTTCTTTAGCAGAGCTCAGGCACTGTGCTGGAAGATCTGCTGCTGTCTTCAAAGCCAATAGGCAGGAACGTGTAAGTCTGCTGAAGCTATGCCACAGCTGCCCCTTCCCCCAGGTGCTCTGTCCCAGGGAGACAGGAGTATCTATAAGCCCCTGACTGGAGCTGCTGCCTTTCTTTCAGAGATGTCCTGCCTAGAGAGGAGGAATCTAGAGAGGCAGTCTGGCTACAGCTTTGTGGTGCTATGGTGGGCTCTGCCTAATTCAAACTTCCTGGCAGCTTTGTTTATACTGTGAGGGGAAAGCCACCTATTCAAGCCTCAGTAATGGTGGATGCCCTCTCCCCCCACAAAGCTCCAGCATCTTGAGTTGATTGCAGACTGCTGTGCTGACAGTGAGAATTTCAAGCCAATGGATCTTAGCTTGCTGGGCTCTGTGGGGTTGGGCTCTGCTGAGGTAGACCACTTGGCTCCCTGGCTTCGGCCCCCTTTCCAGGGGATTGAATGATTCTGTCTCACTGGCATTCCAGGTGCCACTAGGGTAGGAAAAAAACTTCTGCAGCTAGCTCAGTGTCTGCCCAAATGGTTGCCCAGTTTTGTGCTTGAAACCCAGGGCCCTGGTGGTATAGGCACCCGAATCTCCTGGTCTGTGGGTTGCTAAGACTGAAGGAAAAGCATAGTATCTGGGCTGGAATGCACCATCCCTCACAGCACAGTCCCTCATGGCTTCCCTTGGCTATGGGAGGGAATTCCTTGACCCCTTGTGCTTCCCGGTTGAGGCGGCATCCCACCCTGCTTTGGCTTGCCCTCTGTGGGCTGTACCCACTATCTATCTAACCAGTCCCAGTGAGACAAGCCAGGTAAATCAGTTGGAAATGCAGAAATCACCCACCTTCTGCACTGATCTTGCTGGGAGCTGCAGACCAGAGCCGTTTCTATTAAGCCATCTTGCCAGCCACCTTTAATTGTGTTTTCTTTTTTTCTTTTTGTCAAGGCTAATTAAGGGATGTAGTGGTCAGGGAGAATTTAAATTTAGCAGTAGGACACAGCTTTCAATATGTTTAATTTTTAAGGAAGAATTGTTTTTTGTGGAAAATTAGCATTTTATCTGAATATTTTCTTTTAAAAATTAAAAATATACTGAGCTCTATATTGTGACTCTAAAAATTTTAGAAAATGATAAAGTGATTTGGTGTTTAATTTATTTTAGTTAAATCGTTTTAAAATTATAGAATCTAAGATTCAGAAGTAGATGTCTTGGGGATCCCCAGATTTGGTTTGCTAGTCAGGGCTGTACTGAATATTTTCTTCTGACCATGTTCTTTTCAATTCATTTTATATGCTAAGGACTGTTAACACAAGAATATGCAATGCCTATGGAGAAATAAAAGACCAATGTTTTAACCACGATTATAAAGCTATTTTATAATAGTTATTTATTTGTAGATAAATATTTAGAAAACCTCATGCTTATGTATGGTTATTTTCCCTTAGTAGGCTATTGGAATGAAATCAGCTCCTGTTCCAAGAAAAGCTGCTGATTCTCATGGTATAATAATTTGGTTTTTTTGCAGCATTCCAGGATGCCTTAAAGATTTTCTGTAGGATAAAAGGTGGTCGAGTTTTAATTGATGAAGTGTTTGCTGTTTTGGATAGCATGGATATTCCTATAAACCCTGACATTTTTGAAGAAGTGATAAAACATACCTATATTGACAGTGAGTTATTTGCATTAAGATATATGTGTTAATATATGTGTGCACATATTTATGTATTTTTTTCTGTATATCAATTTTGTCATCTGTCCTTTGCGTCTCCTTTTTTCTCTTGATTTTTACCCTTTGCCATTGACACCATTTACTGGTGTCTATAGTAAGAAATAGTCTAGAAAAATTAAATGAGAAGTTTCTAAAATTGTTATATTTTGGTATGTTTGGTAAAAGAGTAAAATGAATTTTTTAAAAAGTCAGCCTTACATCTCTTTTCCAATAGTCATTTCTTGTCTTTGTGGAGAAGTACTTTCTTGTAGTGTCAAGGGTATTGACTCTACAAATTAGAAGACCTAAATTTCTTGAATTCTCAATTTTATTATGTAGCTTTGATTAAACAGTTTCTATGCTCTTCAGTTAATCTCTGCACAATGTGGATTGCTTTAAACATTATAAAAATATTTAGCAGGTGTTTTGTATTACATGTTTACTTGTAACCAGAGGATGTCCTATAATAATTAGTGATTAATTGATTGATTCCTTTGTTTTATTATTTTTAGAGACAGTGTCTCACTGTGTTGCCCAGGCTGTAGTGCAGTGTCATGATCACTGCTCACTGTAATCTTGACCTCCTAGACTCAATGATCCTCACACGTCATATTCCTGAATAGCTAGGACTATAGGTGTGTACCATCATGCCAGAGTAGTTAATTTTTTTTTTCTTTTTGGTAGAGACAAGGTCTTGCTATGTTTCCCAGGCTGGTCTCAAACTCCTAGCTTCAAGTGATACTCCTGCCTCAGCCTGCTGAACACTGGAATTACAGGCATGAGCCACTGGGCCCAGCCTGATTCATTCATTTAATTAATCAGATAGTCATTTAAATAGACTATGCCTGGAACTGTTCTAGGTGATGCAAAGATGAATAAAACACACTCTTTTTTTTGAGATAGTTCACATTCAAGTGTGGAAAGAGTCAAGTAAACAGAAAATTAAAATACTCCATGGCAAATACTATATATAGGCTGCTAAGTTACATACTGCAAGGCTTAGGGAAAGATTATCCAAGGGATTGATGTCTGAGCTAAATCTTGAAGGATTGGTGTGAATTAAGTAGTTGAAGGTAGCAGCGAAGAGTGAGAAAAACATCTTAAGCCAAAGGAACAGTTTGTGTAAATATGGCAGAAAAATAATCAGACATGACATCTCTTTGAGTGAGCTTCCACTGGTTTTTGTCATTTATTAATGGTGGTTTTATAGTGGGCTTTTGGTTGCTGAAATGTGGTCTGGAGATAGAACAAGGCCTCATGGAGTTCTATTAGGAAGTCAGATATGGTGAACTCTGGGGTGAGGCAGAAATGGAAGGATATGATGGGGTATGAAATGTAAAATGGGGATTTTAAAGACTAATCTTAAGCCTTTAGAGCATACCCTACCAGGAACAACAGAAATCATACGAAACAGCTGCAGTACCTTGCTTTTTGGCTTATGGAGTTCTGGGCCTCCAAGTCTCCTGCATTATTTGGGGAGGTAGATTGGAAAAAGGATACTAATTTTATAGGATTATTATAGGAATTAAATATAAACATTTATCACAGTGCTTGGCACTTAGACACAAGAAAGGTAAGGCAGAAACCTGAGAGTCATCCTTGAAAACTCTATTTCTCTATTCCTTATGCAACCTAAACTCTTAGATATATCTTTTTAAAAACATTTTCCCACCTGTGTGGGCTGTGGTGGAGAGAACCTAGCAGAAGTGCATGCCCACAGGCAGGCATGGGTGTGTGTGTGATGGTGTAATGAGGAATCTTGAGATCATCCTGGATGACCAAGGTAGGCCCAAAATTCGTGGCAAGTGTCCTCATAAGAGGCAGAAGACATAGACACAGAGAGGAGACCAGGTGAAAACAAAAGAAGAAGCTGGAGTGATAAAACGATCAGGGAAATGGAGAAATCTTAGAATCAGGAAAAGAAGAGGGGAATGATCCAAGATGGCCAAATAGGAACAGCTCCAGAATGCAGTTCCCAGAGAGAACAATGGAGAGGGTGAGTGATCACCAGATCTCCAAATGAGTTTTTACTGTACATAGACCAGGAGATTCCAGCACTGAAAAGTGCCACGAGTTTCCAGTATAGCTGTTTCAGCTGGCGCTACAGGTCTCCCCACAAAAATTCACACAAATCTGAGAGGCCGTTTCAACTGGTGCCTGGAATGCCTGGGAGACAGAGCCACCCATTCAACTGAAAAAAAGGGGACTGAAACAGGGAGCCAGGTGATCTGGCTTAGTGGGTCCCACCCCAACAAAGACCAGCAATCTGAAACACTCTGGATTGAGAATTTCACAGCAAGCGCAGCTGGACCCGGGCAGACCAGCTTGCTGGAGGGAAGGGCGTCAGCCATTACCAAGGCAGTCCACCACTACCGAGACAGTCCGCCATTATCAAGGCAGTCTGCCATTACCAAGGCAGTCCACCATTACCAAGGCAATCTGGCCTTACTGAGGCAGACTGCCATTACCAAGGCAATCCACCATTACTGAGGCAGACTACCATTACTGAGGCAGTTCTAACTGTACCTCTGTAAACAAAACCACAAGGAAGTTCACACAGCAGCTGGGCAGAGCCACGGCAGCTCAGCAATGCCTCTGCTGGCAGACTGTGACTAGGCTACCTCCTTGCTAGGCAGGGCATCTCTGAAAAAATGGCAGCAGCACATCAGAAACATATAAATAAAGCACCATCTTCCCAGGACAGAGCACCTGGGAAAAGAGGGAGTTATGAGTTCTGCTGCAGCAAACCTAAACGTACCTGCCCAGCAGCTCTGAATGGAACAATGGAGCTCCCAGCTCAGCACTTGAGCTCCTATAAGGGACAGACTGTCTCCTCAAGCAGCTCCCTGATCATATATCCAAAGAGATACCTCATAAAGGAGAGCTCAGACTGACATCTGGAGGGTAACCTTCTGGGATGAAGATAACAGAAGAAGAAACCAGCAGCAACCCTTCCTGTTCTGAAGCCCCCGCGGGTTGATCCCCAGGCAAACAAGGTCTGGAGTGGAACTCCAGCAGTCGCACAGCAGAGGGTCCTGATTGTTAGAAAAAAAAAACTAAAAAATAACTTCAACATCAACAAAAAGGACACCCACTCAGAGACCCCATCTGAAAGTCACCAACTGCAAGATCACAGGTAGATAAATACATGAAGATGGGAAGAAACCAGAGCAAAAAGGATGAAAACACCCAAAACCAGAATGCCTCTCCTCCTCCAAGGGATCACAACTCCTCACCAGCAAGGGAACAAAGCTGGATGGAGAATGAGTCTGATGAATTGACAGAAACAGGCTTTAGAAGGTGGGTAATAACAAACTTCTCTGAGCTAAAAGAACACGTTCTAACCCAATGCAAAGAAACTAAGAACATTATAAAAAGGTTAGACAAAATGCTAACGAGAATAAACAGCTTAGAGAAGAATATAAACAACTTGATGGAGCTGAAAAACACAACACAAGAACTTCACGAAACATACACAAGTTTCAGTAGCCAAATCAATCAAGCAGAGGAAAGGATATCAGAGATTGAAGATCAACTCAATGAAATAAAATAAGGCAAGATTAGAGAAAAAAGAGTGAAAAGAAATGAACAAAGCCTCCAAGAAATATGGGATTATGTGAAAAGACCTAATCTACGTTTGATAGGTGTACCTGAATGTGATGCAGAGAATGAATCCAAGCTGGAAAACACTCTTCAAGGTATTATCCAGGAGAACTTTCCCAATCTAGCAAGGCAGGCCAACATTCAAGTCCAGGAAATACAGAAAACACCACAAAGATATTCCTCAAGAAAAGCAACCCCAAGGCACATAATCGTCAGATTCACCAGGGTTGAAATGAAGGAAAAAATGCTAAGGGCAGCCAGAGAGAAAGGTCAGGTTACCCACAAAGGGAAGCCAATGAAACTCACAGTGGATCTCTCTGCAGAAACCCTACAGGCCAGAAGAGAGTGGGATCCAATATTCAACATCCTTAAAGAAAAGAAATTTCAACCTAAAATTTAATATCCAGCCAAACTAAGCTTCATAAGTGAAGGAGAAATAAAATCCTTTATGGACAAGCAATTGCTGAGAGATTTCATTGCCACCAGGCCTTCTTTACAAGAGGTCCTGTAAGAAGTACTAAATATGGAAAAGAACGACCAGTACCACCCACTCCAAAAATGTACCCAATGGTAAAGACTATTGACACAATGAAGAAACTGTGTCAACTAATGGGCAAAACAACCAGCTAGCATTAAAATGGCAGGATCAGATTCACACATAACAATATTAACTTTAAATGTAAATGGGCTAAATGCCCCAGTCAAAACACACAGACTGGCAAATTGGGTTAAAAGTCAAAACGCATCAGTGTGTTGTATCCAGGAAACCCTTCTCACGTGCAAGGACACACATAGGCTCAAAATAAAGGGATGAAGATTTATCAGGCAAATGGAGAGCAAAAAAAAGCAGGAGTTGCAATCCTAGTCTCTGATAAAATAGACTTTAAACCAACAAAGATCAAAAGAGACAAAGAAGGGCATTACGTAATGGTAAAAGGATCAATGCAACAAGAAGAGCTAATGATCCTAAATATATATGCACTCAATACAGGAGCACCCAGATACATAAAGCAAGTTCTTAATGACCTATAAAGAGACTCAGACTCCCACACAATAATAGTGGGAGACTTTAACACTCCACTGTCAATATTAGACAGATCAACGAGACAGAAAATTAACAAGGATATCCAAGATTGAACTCAGATCTGGACCAAGTGGACCTAATAGACATCTACAGAACTCTCTACCCCAAATCTGCAGAATATACATTCTTCTCAGCACCACATTGCACCTGCTCTCAAATTGACCACATAATTGGAAGTAAATCACTCCTCAGCAAATGCAGAACAATGGAAATCATAACAAACAGTCACTCAGACCACAGTGCAATCAATTAGAACTCGGGATTAAGAAACTAACTCAGAACTGCATAACCTCATGGAAACCGAACAACTGGATCTTGAATGTTGACTGGATAAACAATGAAATGAAGGCAGAAATAAAGATGTTCTTAGAAACCAAGGAACACAAAGACACAATATATCAGAATCTCTGGGACACATTTAAAGCAGTATCTAGAGGGAAATTTATAGCAATAAATGCCCACATGAGAAGCAAGGAAAGATCTAAAATTGACACCCTATCATGAAAATTGAAAGAGCTAGAGGAGCAAGATAAAAAAAAAAAACTCAAAAGCTAGGAGAAGACAAGAAATAACTAAGATCAGAGCAGAACTAAAGGAGATAGAGATACAAAAACCCTTCAAAAAAAATCAGCAAATCCAGGAGCTGGTTTTTTGAAAAGATCAACAAAATAGACTGCTAGCCAGAGTAATAAAAAAGAGAGGAGAATTAAATAGATACAATAAAAAATGATAAAGGGGATATCACCACCGATTCCACAGAAATACAAACTACCATCAGAGATTACTACAAACAACTCTATGCACATAAACCAGTAAACCTGGAAGAAATGGATAAATTCCTGGACACTTTCACTCTCCCAAGCCTAAACCAGGAAGAAGTTGAAACCCTGAATAGACCAATAACAAGGGCTGAAGTTGAGGCAGCAATGAATAGCCTACCAACCAAAAAAAGCCCAGGTCCAGATGGGTTCACAGCCGAATTCTACAAGACGTGCAAGGAGGAGCTGGTCCCACACTTTCTGAAACTATTCTAAACAATCCAAAAAGAGGGAATTCTTCCCCAGTCATTTTATGAGACCAATGCCATCCTGGTACCAAAACCTGGCAGAGACTCAACAAAAAGAGGAAACTTCAGACCGATATCCATGATGAACAAAGCCTTCGTCCACTAGGGACTATCTAAGTACGTAAGATTTGTTTGGGAGCTTCATCACAGGTGTTTATTGCATAGATGCAAGAAATAAATTTGAACAAGAGCTAATGAATCTGTGAACATGGTTGACTACCACACTCTTAATAGTTGAGGTTGGACTTCTGTTCAGAGAAAGGAGTTTTCTAAATGAAGAGCAGGTAAAAGTGAAATGGCCTTCTGCACTGGATTAATACATGTATGGTCTAACTGAATATTTTTCAGTGATCAGATTCAAGAGCTTGAGGGTTGAAGCTTTGAGTTGTCTTAGGACTTAAGCCATGATCTAAGAACATGGGACATGGAATCAATCTACAATAAGTGACAGTTACTGGGAAGGCTCTGAGAAGTGTTAGAACCATAATCAAAACCAGAATGAGGATAAATGCCAAGGAAATAAGAAACCAGAATGTAGGAAGCAATTCCTAATCAGAAGGCAATTTAGCACCAATTTAGCCTAGCATTTCTTTGATTGGTTCAAACACATAGAACTTGCTTTATAGTGATTTAAAGGCCTGCACCTGAAATACATAGTTTACCAATTTTCGGAGAATCAGTGAATCAGGTGAACCCAACACCAAAACGATACTATTTGATTTAAAAATTTGCTTCTTCTGGTCACGGCGAGAGGGGCGGGGCAGGCTGGGCCACTCCCTTCAGTCCTGCTCCCAGCCTGCCCCGCCCCGCAGCCAAGGGCTGGATGAGGGTACTTATTCTGAGGAGGCGCAGGACTGCTGGCGCAGAAGGAGCTGGACGGAGTTGTGGTCACGTGAGGAAGCTTTGTATGTGTACGCATTGCACCCCTATTTTCACAAAGGTTGGCTATCAGAGCATTATGAACATTAATGACCCCGAACTCAGGTTGTCCCAAGCTGAGCAAGAACATCCACTCCGTTTTTGGAATGAGCTTAAAGAAGCTCAACAGGAAGAACTTTATGCAAAGCTCCAGGCCATGAACTTTGAGGAGCTGGACTTCTTTTTCCAAAAGGCCATTGAAGGATTTAACCAGTCCTCTAAGCAAGAAAAAATGGATGCGTGAATGGAACCTGTCCCTTGAGAGATATTGGGTAGTGCTACAGGGAATCTAGATCAGCTCCAGGCCTGGGAAAGTGAAGAACTTTTCCAGATTTCTCAGAACGAAGTAACACTTCTAGTTGGTGGGCAGGGGACTAGACTCATTGCATATCCAAAGGGGATGTATGATGTTAGTTTGCCATCCCAAAAGAGGCTTTTTCAGTTTCAAGTAGAGTGTATCCTGAAGCTACAACAGCTGAAAAATATTATGGCATCAAATGCATTATTTCTTATAATAATCAGTAGCAGAACAGTGGAATCTACAAAGGAGTTCTTCACCAATCACAGGTACTTTGGTTTGAAAAAAGAAGATAAAATCTTTTTTCAGCAAGGAATGCTCCCTGCCATGAGTTTTGATGAGCAAATTATTTTGGAAGAGAAGAACAAAGTTTCTATGGCTCCAGATAAGATAGTGGTCTTTATCGGGCTTTTGCAGCCTGGAATACTGTGGAGGAGATGGAGCAAAGAGGCATCTGGAACATTCATGTGTATTGTGTTGACAACATATTAGTAAAAGTGGCAGACCCACGGTTCATTGGATTTTGCATTCCAAAAGGAGCAGACTGTGGAGCAAAGGTGGTAGAGAAAACAAACCCTACAGAATGGGTTGGAATAGTTTGCCAAGTGAATGGAGTTTACCAGGTGGTAGAATATAGTGATATTTCCCTGGCAACAGTTCAAAAACGAAGCTCAGATGAATGACTGCTGTTTCATGTGGGGAACATGGCCAGCCATTTCCTCACTGTACCACTTCTGAGAGATGTTGTCAATGTTTATGAACTTCATTTGCAGCACCATGTGGCTCAAAAGAAGATTCCTTATGTGGATACCCATTAGCAATTAATTAAACCAGATAAACCTAGTGGAATAAGTGTAGGAAAATTTGTCTTTGACATCTCCTAGTTTACAAAGAAGTTTGTGGTATATGAAATATTACAGGAAGATGACTTTTCCACACTAAAGAATGCTGACAGACAATGGGAAAGATAACTCTGCTACTGCAAGGCATGCTTTCATTACTTGCTGGGTCCTCAATTCATGGGTCACTTTATAGATGGAAATGGCTCTCATCTTCCAGCAATTCCCTGCTTAAAGGATGCCAGTGATGTACCAATCCAGTATAAAATCTCTCCTCTTATCTTTAATGCTGAAGAAGGAATGGAAAGTTATGTGGCTGATATATAATTCCATTACACCTTTAATCATTGATGAAAATGGAGTTCATGAGCTGGTGAAAAATAGTATATGAACCCTATACCAAATTCTACCACAATAGGAATAGCTTTTATTTTTGATAGACCAACTGTGAACCTATAGGACCTCCTGAATGACTCAAGTTTAGATATTCACAGGGCTTTATTTTGCTTGTTTAACTCTTATAGCTACTGCAAACTTCTCATGATCTAGATGTCTGAATTTCAGATAGCATTTTTATGATTCCCAACTCATTGAAGGTCTTATTTATATTTTTCAATTGTGTATTTTTTTTCCAAGGCAAGGAAATCATTGGCAATCCAAGAAATTTCCTACAGCTGAACTATAGTCAGGATGTTCTTTACTTGGAGCTGGAGGCATTTGTTTTTGAAGTTGTACATAGTAATAATATGTCGTTGTATATGTTGAAAGGTTTCTGTGGTACTAAAAGTTTACCAAACATTAAACTTTTTAAACAAAATAATTGGATGGTAAAATAAATGTATCTTTCTGTCTCTGGGGAAAAAAATTTGCCTCTTTCTCTCCGAGTTTTCACTTGTGCATATTATTGAACAGTTGATTTCTTATGAATAGACTGAAGATAAAAGCCATCACTATTATAGATAGATAAGTAAATTTTCAGTCTTTTTCATCTTGGATGGCAAGCAAAACCAAACATTTGGAGGCAAGAACTATTAGGCAAAGCATTTTCTACCTCTGTGCACAATTGAAATGACATTGCTCAAGGTCACTGCATCTGAACACATCATGCAGTCATGCATTATCCAAGAAGAAAAATGGTCTTAGACAGAGGCAGGGGCAGGAATAGTTGGAAGTTATAATTATGAGAGTCCTGGACACAGAGAAGGTACAAAGTAAATCATTATCTGCTATTCACTATGTAGACATTGCATTGTTTGTTTGTTTGAGACGAGTTTTGCTCTTGTTACCCAAGCTGGAGTGCAATGGCGCGATCTCGGCTCACCGCAACTTCCGCCTCCTGGGTTCAGGCAATTCTCCTGCCTCAGCCTCCTGAGTAGCTGGGATTACAGGAACGCGCCACCATTCCCAGATAATTTTTTGTATTTTTAGTAGAGACGGGGTTTCACCATGTTGGACAGGATGATCTCAATCTCTTGACCTCGTGATCCACCCACCTCGGCCTCCCAAAGTGCTGGGATTACAGGCGTGAGCCACCGTGCCCGGCCTGTTTTTTATAGTCTTCTGTATATTTTGTTCAGCCAAAAATAATTTTTAGTGATAAGAAGTGTAGGTACTTTGCTAGGCATTGGGGAAACAAATGAAAGACACATCCTCTGTTCTTGAGGAGCTCACAATCTAGAAATGAAGACAACAGAGTAAATAAATAAGTACCTGTAATAAACTCTAAAAAATGTGCAAAATTAAAAAATAATTCTAATTAGCATGAGGGCTTAAAACAAGACTATTTCTTTTGATTGAAAGCTCTTTTATTAAGGAGAAAAGACCATAGTGTTAGGCCTATGTTTTAGTATATACTGAGTTGTTAATTCATTATTTCAGATTTTATTCAAGCTTGTAATAGTTGGCTCTTTGTTCCTACTTGCCACACATTCTGTGTTGTTTTCATATTAGAATAGGATGGCAGATATATCTATGTTCACAAGTAAATACATATTTGAACTTACTCTATTACAGGTAACCACATGGTGGATATTGGGGATATTATATTTATTTTGAATGAACTACAGGAACAGTATGAGGAAGTTTGTAAGTGAGCTCTTGTTGCTATGGCAAATTTTGTTTATAATTAAAGTCTTTACATTAAATCTTAATTTATAAGTTTTATTTTATAAAGATTTTGGAAACCTTCTCTGAACAATTTACTGTCTTAAATCAGGGACATAAAAATGTAATACTCAAAATGCTATTTATGTGTCTTCTTTTTAGAAATGTCTATGCATGTTCTTCTCCAGTTTTTTTTTGTTGTTGTTGTTGTTGTTGTTTGTTTGTTTTGGTTTGGTTTGTTTTTGTAAGACTGATTTTCTCTCTTGTTGCCCAGGCTGGAGTGCAATGGCACAATCTTTGCTCACTACAACCTCCATCTCTGGGACTTAAGTGATCCTCTTGCCTCAGCCTCCCAAGTAGCTGGGTTTACAGACATGCACCATCATACCCAGCTAGTTTTGTATTTTTAGTAGAGACAAGGTTTCACCATGTTGGTCAGACTGGTCTTGAACTCCTGACCTTAGGTGATCCACCTGCCTCCCAAAGTGTTGGGATTACAAGTGTGAGCCACCACACCCAGCTCTTTGCCCAGTTTTTAATTTTTTTGTTTTTTTAGCTGTTGAGTTATTTGAATTCCTTATATATTCTGGATATTAGTTCCTTCTCAGATGAAGTTTGCCAATATTTTCTTCCATTCAAGAGGTTATCTCCTCATTCTATTATTTCTTTTGCTGTGCAGAACCTTTTTAGTTTAATATAGCTTTTAAGTTTAATTTAGCTTTTTAGTTTAGTTTATAGTCCCATTTGTCTATTTTTGTTTTTGTTGCTGGTGCTTTTGAGATCTTAGTCATAAAATCTTTGCCTAGACCAGTGTCCTATAGACTTATCCCTATGTTATCATCAAACAGTTATTTAGTTTTAGGTCTTATGTTTCAGTCTTTAATCCAGCTTGAGTTGTTTTTTGCATATGATGAGAGATAGAGGTTTAGTTTAATTCTTCTGCATATGGTTATCCACTTTCCCCAGCACTATTTATTGAAGAGTGTATTCTTTCCTCAATGTATATTCTTGACTGCTTTGTTGGCTTTGTTGCAACAAAGCTGTTTGGCTGTAAACAAACAGTTGATCAGTTTACTGTAAATATGTAACTTTATTTCCGGATTCTTTATTCTGTTTCATTGGTCTCTATGTCTATTATTATTATTCTTTTGAGACAGAGTCTCACTCTGTTTCCTAGGCTGGAGTGCAGTGAGGCATCTCAGCTCACTGCAACCTCTGCCTCCTGGGTTCAAGCGATTCTCCTGCCTCAGCCTCTTGAGTAGCTGGGATTACAGGCACGTGCCACCATGCCTGGCTAATTTTTGTATTTTTAGTAGAGACTGGGTTTCACCATATTGGTCAGGCTGGTCTTGAACTTCTGATCTCAAATGATCCACCTGCCTCAGCCTCCCAAAGTGCTGGGATTACAGGTGTGAGCCACTGTGCCCAGCCTCTCTGTCTATTTTTATACATACTGTTTTGGTTGCTGTATTAGTCTGCTCTCATGCTACTAATAAAGACATATCTGAGACTGGATAATTTATAAAGTAAAGACATTTACTTGACTCACAGTTCCACATGGCACTCTATGTGTTTGCACTGGATATTTTAATTCATTTACATTCAAGGTAATTATTGATATGGAAGGATTTACTACTGACATTTTGTCCATTGTTTTCTGCTTGTTTCATAGATCCTTTGTTTCCTTATTTCTCTCTTCTTTTGTGATTGGAATTTCTCTATTGATTTTTTTTAACTTTTTATCTTTTGTGTATTTACTATAGGTTTTTGATCTGTGGCTACTCTGAAGCTTACAAAATATCTTGTAGTTATGACAGGCAATTTTAAGCTGATAGCAAGTTAAGTTTGCTTGCACAAACAAACTGTGCTTTTATCTCATCTCTCCTGCATTTAAAATTTTTGATGTCACAATTTGCAGATTTTTATATTGTTTCCCTTAATAAATCATTGTAGCTTTTATTATTTTTAACCTTCATACCATGTAAATGAAGTGCACGCCACCATTACAGTATTAGTCTATTCTGATTTTGACTGTGTACTTACTTTTACCAGTAAGTTTTATACATTTATATGTTTTTGTGTTACTAATCAGCATTCTGTTATTTTGACTTGAAGAACTCTTTTTGACATTTCATGTAAGACAAATCTGGGGGACGAACTCCTTCAGCTTTTGTCTGGGAAAATCTTTATCTTGTCTTCATTTCTGAAGGACAGTTTTTCTAGGTACAGTATTATTGCTGGCAGTTTATTTCCTTCAGTACTTTGAATATATTGTCCCATTCTCTATGAACCCATAAGGTGTCTGCTGAAATATTTGCTGTCCTTATTGGAACGTATGTGTCATTTACTTTTCTCTTGCTATTTTCAGAATCTTCCTTTTGTTTTTGATATTTGACAGTTTGATTATAATGTCTTTGTGTAGTCTTGTTTGAATTGATCTGATTGGAGGCATTTGGCCTTCCTGTACCAGGATATTTACGTAATTTGCCCAAATTTGAACTGTTTTCTGTTCTTCTTTATATAAGTTTTCTACTCTTTTGTCTTTCTCTTTTCCTTCTTAAACTCTTATAACTTGACCGTTTTCTCTTTGGATGCTGTTCCATCAATCTTGTAAGCTTTCCTCATTATTTTTCATTCTTTTTTTTTCTTTTATCCTCCTCAGACTATATATTTTCAAATAGTTTTCCTTCAGGTTCACAGATTCATTCTTGTGCTTGATCAATTATGCTGTTGATGTTCTCTATTGCATTTTTTATTTCTTTCATTACACTTTTCAGCTCTTGATTTTTATTTATTTTCTTTTGTGTAATTTCAGGGTGTCTCTAAAATTTTATTTTTGGTAATTTATTGTTTTCCTGATTCCATTGAATTTTTTTCTCTGCATGTCATTTATTTTATTCCCTGAACTTTCTCTAGACAATTAATTTGAATTCTGTCAGGAAGTTTCTATATCTTTATTTCTTTGGGGGTCAACTGTCAGGAGATTATTGTACTCTTTTGGTGGTATTTTGTCTTCTTGGTTTTTCATGTTTCTTGTTGCCTTATGTTGATGTCTCTACATTTCAAGGCCTGGGAAAGCCCTTAATCTGTCAGCCCATCCAGAGATTCTGGGTAGGCTATTTGGTGTGGACCCAAAGCCTAAATCAGAAGTGTCGAATATTATATTTTTACCCATTCACTAACCTATTTCTTTGATAGATAGCACTTAGAGATACATATATACCATGATATTTAAATATTTCCAGACTTTAATATTCAAATATTTTCATATAATTGTTTATTCTCATAGAGTCTAAGATAAGAAGTGTTTTTATTTCCTCTAGGCAAAATTTCTTTGTAGTTGAGATTATACTGCTGCTCTGTCTTTTTATGTCTAATTATTTTTTTCTTTTTTGAGCTTGGGAGCTTGACAGTCTCATAAAGTTGTTTTGAGGATCAAATATTATAACATTTGAAATACCTTAAAATGTGTTATTCAAATGTAAGATAATATTCTGAACCATCAGATAAATTTTGTAAATGAAGTCCTAGTCTGGGGCATTGTGTTAATATTTTTCTAAAGATGTTATTTTATATATGAAGTTATTTTTCCCTCCACAAATACCAAGAATATTTAGGAGAGTAATTACTTAGATTCTAATTTTATAAATAAAATCCTCCCTTTCCTCATAGTTCTGTACTTTTATAAGTAAGAAATTTCCATCTGTATTAGCTTATTAATCTATTATCTTTGTTAATTGGGAAGGAGTGGGGAATGAGAACCATATGCTTCATTAGGCTACCATTTTAGTTTCAGTGTAACTTTAAATAGCTTTGGATGGGAATATTTAAATATATTAAAGCAGCATATTAAATTTGACCTAGTTAATAGTTCAATCTTTTTACTGTCAGTTCTTTAATTTTTTCATTTGTTTTATATATTTAAGCAACTGATAATGTTTTGAATAGCTTTCATGAGGACTTAGTTGTTATTTTTGAAATGCATTGCAAATTATACAGGTAAATGAAATAATTATATGTTTCTCTTATTTAGCAATTACAGAGGGATCAACTTCGGATGAAGTTACTTCAGACAGAAAGTTATCAAGTGTAGCAGGATGCTATCTACAATGTAAGAAGAAAAACAGTTTGTTTTCCAAACTCCCGGAACCTTCAATATCCAAAAAGTTAAATAAAAAAAGCCACCAATATTCTAGCAAAATTATGGAGGAGACTGATGGCCTTGAATCTAAAAGATCAAAACATGCTTGGGAAATAAGAAAATTTCTGGGTGGAGTAGGCAGCAGTAATGTAGGAGTCCAAGAACCATATTCAAAGAATGGCATAAACTTTAAAAAACATTCAGAGAAGGGTGAAATTCATGACTCAAAGTCTAAACCACAAAGCTTGAAGAGTAGTGCAAGCCTCAGCAAGTCTATGGACAAAAGTAGTATTTCTAGTATCCCCAAATTTCAGAAGTCAGGTGTGAGAAATTGTTCCAGCCTCCTAAAACAAGTTTCGTCTATGGAAAAAACTGCACTTAATGCTTTGGGTAAGTAAAAATCTAGGTTCTTGAGTTCTTCAGTCATCTCAGAAATAAATAGAATGAATTGATTATTAGATAGTTACAAGCATTTCAATTGCTAATACCTTGGGTAACCACCACTTCTCTTTTTTTTTTTTTAATTTAAAAATTATTTATAGAGATAGGGTTGCCCAGGCTGGTCTCAAATCCCTGGCCTCAAGCAATCCTCCTGTGCTGGCCTCCCAAACTGCTGGGATTACAGGCATGAACTACCATGCTAGGCAAAAATTCTGGAAATGTACAGTAGTGATAGTTGCACAACTTTGTAAATGTGACCAATGCCACTGAATTGTATGTTTATTTGTTATTTATTTTTTTGAGTCAGAATCTCTTTCTGTCACCCAGCCGGGAGTGTAGTGGCATAATCCTAGCTCACTGCATCCTTGACCTTTTGTGTTCAAATGATCCTCCTACCTCCTCAGTCTCCCACATAGCTGAGAGCATAGGTATATGCCACCACCCCCAGCTAACTTTTGTTGTTGTTGTTGTAGAGACCATGTCCCACTATGTTGCCAAGGCTGGTCTTGAACTCCTGACCCCAAGCAGTGCTCCCGTCTTGGCCTCCCAAGGTGCTGTGATTACAGGTATGAGCCACCTGTCCAGCTTGCCACTTCTGACAGATAGACAATATTGTGATTTTGATGATAATTCCTTTCCAGATGCCCCCTTTAGGGAAGAACTTAACTTTTCCTGAGAAGCTTGTTCAGTGATTAATTAGAGTCGTTAACATTCCCTAGAAAGTACAAGGCCTGGCGTCTTTTGGAAATATTTATTTTATAATTTATTAAATGTTTAAACAAGTAGGAAATCTATGTGAAATTTTTGCTTAGAGTGCTGTAATTTCTATAATATTCATAGTACTTCAGGTATTATCTCTTATGGAAGGAGAATATTAGGAAAAAATTATACTATGTATCTAGGTCTCCAAGTCTGTATGAGTTTTCTCAAAGATGAGCAGTGGTTTCCCAACCAATATATTTTCTCTCCCTGTGCTACTTTTATCACAGAAACACTGTATGTGGAACCTGATTAAACATTCCCTCCTTGTAGTCCTCTGCTGAAGTTACTTAAGTCATATTTATTCTGTAAAAAAAAACTTACTGACCTTTGTATTACATTTAGTATTTAAGGTAATAGGTAAAATGATTGTTTAGTGAAAAATCTGTGATTCATACATTAATGCATAATTCAAATAACTCAATGGGAAAAAATCTGATCTATTAAGGAGGCACGGTGATGATCATCCTGATTTTGATTCCTTTACCAATGCACTGCTGCTACTTTGTGCCTCATTTGTATTTCTGGGAATTCCTTTTATTTCAATAAGAATTAAAACCTTAGGTTAAAAGAGTAATGAAACAGCAGACAGACATGGGTAGAAGAGGCCATCAGAAGAAAATAATATCTACCTTTCTCATGTCACTAAAATAAAATAATGTCACCTACCACTGCCACACTTAGTGCTCTGAATATAGAGAAGTATGAAATAGTTTCTCTGGCATAACTTCCCAAAACAAATTGATGGTAATTGAGCTTTTATGGAATATGACTACCTTATGATTTATATTAAAGCAATTCTAACTTTTCATTTTTAAATAATTTTACATTCTTAAGAGACACAAAAATAGTACAAACATTTCCGTATGTTTGTACTCTCTATCTAGCTTTCTCAAGTATTAAGATATTACATAACCATAGTACATGATCTAAACCAGGAAATTAACACTGATGCAATACTACTTACTGAGCTACAGATCTTATTCAAATTTTGTCCGTTGTTCCATGAATGTTCTTTTTCAATTCCAGGATCTAATCCAGAATCACCCATTACATTTAGCTGTCACTTGTCCTTAGTCTCCTTCAAGCTGGGATGGTTCCTCAATCATTCATGACCTTGACACCTTTGAAGAATATTGACTAGTCATCTTGTATAATGCTCTTCATTTTCAATTTTTCTTTTATTCCTTCACAAATAAATTTAGTTTATATATTTTTGGTCAGATTACCTCAGAAGTGATATTGTACCCATGTCAGTGCATCATAGTAAGAAGCTCATGATGTCCATGTCTATTTGCTTCCAAGATTTTATTTTTTGAAGGTTATGAACAGAAAACATGGTAGAGTAAATTAATGGGAAGGTAAAGAACTCTACGTTTTTGTTTGAAATTCTTCAATTTAAACAAAACACTTTGGTTTTTTATTTTTTGGACTCATTAATTTTATACACATACACATAGGCTACAGTGCAGGGTGCAATAGCCCACTGCGACCTCTGCTTCCTGGGTTCAAGTGATCCTCCCACCTCAGCCTCTAGAGTAGCTGGGACTACAGACATGCACCATCATACCTGGCTAATTTTTGTATTTTTAGTAGAGACAGGGTTTCACCATGTTGGCCAGGCAAGTCTCAAACTCTTGACCTTGAGTGACCCACCTACCTCAGCTTTCAAAAGTGCTTGGATTACAGGTGTGAGCCATCATGCCTGGTCCCATTAATTTTAATTAGAAGCAAGCAGCATTGGCTGGGCCACTGGAACAGGCTGTTCCTCCAAACAAGTAGTTTATCAGTGTTTATAGAATGTTAAGACAGTTCTGTGTTTGAGTTATAAGAGAGAGATTAAATATAATATATAACAGGATATGGAGAGATAAGCAGTCCTGTAAAATCTCTAAGGTAATATAAAATAGATAAAACTTGTTCTCTGATTTCTAAAGCTTTTGAGTATTAATTATTCCTTTTGACATGTAAATTCGGTTGCCTAATAGTTTTCTACATTTTGTATATTTAGAAAACTTTCCTGAAGCTGTCAGTGAACCTCAAGAAAATTACTTTGCAGCAGAAGGACTTCAGTCTATTTTGCCTTCAGTAAGAAATACTTTATTGGATAAAGAATTCCAGAAGATTGTGACAGACACTACTAGAAATGGTGAGAGACTGATAACACTGGTTTCCGAGAAAATTAGATATTTTATGGGATAGTATTAAATATTGGAAGAGTTCCTCTCAATTAGAAATTAGGAATGGGACAGACTGGGCCATTCTTAAGAAAATTCAGATATAAAAATGGAAAATAGTAAAAAAAAAAAATTCCTGTAAGTTCTGACCAAATGGATGGGTATAGAGGGTGTAGGCCTTTCATAGTTCCAAATCATTTCAGTAAAGCTCTTCATCACTATCCCTAGCTGTGGCTATTAATAGTAGGGTGGTACTGGGGAAACTGATCCAGTTGTAGCGAGGTTCAGACAGTAAGACCACAATATCTAAGGGATACAGAAATTTCTAAGCAAATAGCCCAAGAGTCCAAAGATTAGTAATTGGAGATTACAAAATACAGGTAGAGTTAGATCCAGTGATGCTTAACAATTAAGCCATGCAGTTAATTAACATTAACATTTAGATGTTGAATGGCATACCCCAGTCACCAGCCTAAGTTAAAGGCAGAGTTTAAGTTTCTAGGAAGGGTTTTTATACTAGAGAAGTTGTTTTTATTAGTAACTAAGACTTTTCCACAACAGAAGTTCAATTGAGGAGAGGAAAGAGATATTTTGGGGAAAGACTGATTTCGGAATAACATTAGAAATGAATCCTCAGAATCTGGGTACAATTTCTTAGCTAAGGCCAATCTGAAAGAAGATTCAATTAAAAAATATAGAGAGAGTGGTGGCACTTAAATTATTGGGCCCTTTTTGCTGCTTATCAAAATTGACATGATCACTGTGAGGGTTTATATCTAAAAATAGGTAAAACATTGGACCACACGAATATTAGGGAGTTAGGGATGGGGATACTTGGTTCTGTCAGGGTTGGTTAGTATTGTTAAGGTGTCTTAATGGATAGCATAGTAAGTGGGACTTCAAGATGGTATGAAATAGACTCCTTAACTCTCTCATGGTCTGTCTATATGGACATCTTTCTTTTTTTCTATATCTGTTAAGGAATTAATATTTAACCCAGTCCTTTGCATGTAATAGATATTGAAAAAGCAGGGATTGTATCTTTCTTATTTTTGTATTCTCGGTACCTAGCATGATTCTTGGTACTAAGAAGCTCTCAATAATTGTTGAAATGAACTGACATAATCTAGAAAGAACTATCATAAGAGACATGATATGAAGGAGAAATAGGATGATGAAATGAAGGATTAAATAAGTTTTAAAAGTAGTTGTATTAGAAAGCTACGGTAATCAAAACAGCATGGTACTGGTACCAAAACAGAGATATAGACCAATGGAACAGAACAGAGGCCTTGGAAGCAACGCCGCACATCTATAACCATCTGATCTTTGACAAACCTGACAAAAACAAGCAATGGGGAAAGGATTCCCTGTTTAATAAATGGTGTTGGGATAACTGGCTAATAGTGTGCAGAAAGCAGAAACTGTACCCTTTCCTGATATCTTACACTAAAATTAACTCCAGATGGATTGAAGACTTAAACATAAGATCTAACACACACACACACACACACACACACACACACACACACATTGTATTAAAATGTAAATTTACCTTTATGCAAAAATACACCAGAATGTGTAATCTAAACTCTTTTTTTAAAAACAGAAAATGGAATGGTGAAGTTAGGTGACTTTACAAGTGCTCTCACCAAGGAGAGAAGTGTTACTAGATGCAATGGTAAGTAGGAAATTTGTTTTAAAATGATTTAGAGGAAAGAGAAATGTGTTGAGAAGAAATGGATTCAATAAAACTGGGCTTGCTTTTGGATGGATACTTAATAGTTGTGTTACTCTTAGGCAAGTCAATTGCCAGTTTTTTAAAACTTGCTATGTCAGGGTAATAATAGCTAACTTGTTTACCTCACAGAGTTGTCATGTGAATTTTGCAAGCTGAAGAGTACTGCATAAATGTATGGTGATAATGACAATGAGGAGATCAAATAGGTAGTTAGCCATATTGATTAGGAATTGATGGGTGATTTGGTTTCTATTTTTTTTCAATGGACTTGTTTGAATGAAATACTGGTTTGATTCACCTTTGATATGGCAAATTTTAAAAAACAGCTTTATCAAGTTATAATTTATGTATATAAAATTCACTCGTCCACTGATTTTTATTGAATTTATTGAGTTGTACAGCTGTTACCACAATATCCTTTTTTTGCTTGCAATTTTTAAATGATTAAATACTTTTTAGTAAGATTAAAATGATAAATGAAAGATATTAAGGCTTGCTATTTTATTTTTTTCTGTTTATACATATGCTGAAAAAGAAAGATAAACTTTTTGTCTCTTTCCAAAAAAATTCCCCAGATAAGGAAAAAAGTACAAAGCAAAAGATTTCCTTTTATACTTACATGAAGAGACTTAGGTTAAAAGCTGCATTGTAATTTATCATTTCTGATGGATGTAAGTGCTGAAATGTCTGGATTTTTTGAAAACAATATTAGCAAATAGATTTATTTTAAATAAATGTTTCTTTATGTTCAGTTTGTAAGCAAGTAGATTTCTTGAATGCTTCATGTAACCATTCATTCACTCAGTCATTGTTCTATGGTTATTCTTGTGAAGTATAAATGTCTTGGTCATACCTGATGATTTTTCCCCCATTGTGCTATTTTTTAATTTTTAATTTTATTTTTAATTGTGGTGAATAACATATAACATACAATTTACCTTCTTAATCATTTCAATAGCATCAGCTATTGAATTAGCAACCAATCTCCACAACTTTTTAATCTTGCAACACAAGTTCCCATTCAGCCTCTGACAACCACAATTTTATTTTCTATTTCAATGAATTTTACTATTCTACATATCTGAGAGGAATCATAAGTATTTGTCTTTTTGTGACTGACTTATTTCACTTAGCATAATATCCTCAAGATTTATCCATGTGTAGCATGTGTCAGAATTTAATTGTTTTTTTTGAGACGGAGTTTCGCTCTTTTTACCCAGGCTGGAGTGCAATGGCGCAATCTCGGCTCACCGCAACTTCCGCCTCCTGGGTTCAGGCAATTCTCCTGCCTCAGCCTCCCGAGTAGCTGGGATTACAGGCACGCGCCACCATGCCCAGCTAATTTTTTGTATCTTTAGTAGAGACGGGGTTTCACCATTTCGACCAGGATGCTCTCGATCTCTTGACCTCGTGATCCACCCGCCTCGGCCTCCCAAAGTGCTGGGATTACAGGCGTGAGCCACCGTGCCCGGCCAATTGTTTTAAAAAGCTAATTAATAGTCTGTTATATGTATATAGCATATTTTGTTTGTTTATTAGTTGATGGACATTTAGGTTGGTACTGGGAATAGTGCTGCTGTGAACATGGTATGCAAATATCTCTTTAAGCTCCTGCTTTTAATTCTTTTTAGTATATATTCAGAAGTGGACACAATCCAATTTTATAACATTTCTATCACTCCTGTTTATTCTCTCATGCCCATTTCCCATTTTTAGTTAATCCAGCCTTCCACTCCCAGGCAACTGTTTATCTGCATGTACATCCTGTCTCTACAGATTTGCCTATTTTTGACATTTAATTTAAGTGAAATTATATAATAGTATAGTCTTTTGTACCTGACCTTCTTCACTTTGCATAGCATATTTTTTAATTATTAAAAAATATTTATTGTACTTTAGGTTCTGGGGTACATGTGCAGATCATGCAGGATTGTTGCATAGGTACATAGATTGCAATATGGTTTGCTGCTTCCATCCCCCCGTCACCTATATCTGGCATTTCTCCCCATGTTATCCCTCCCCACCCTCGCCATCCCCTGCTGTTCCTCCCCTGTGTGCCCCTCCCCTCTGGACCCCAGTGTTTGATGCTCCTCTCCCTGTGTCCATGTGTTCTCATTTGTTCAACACCTGTCTATGAGTGAGAACATGTGGTGTTTGATTTTCTGTTTTTGCTTCAGTTTGCTGAGAATGATGGTTTCCAGATTCATCCATGTCCCTACAAAGGACATGAACTCATCATTTTTTATGGCTGAATAGTATTCCATGGTGTATATGTGCCACATTTTCCTTGTCTAGTCGATCATTGATGGGCATTTGGGTTGGTTCCAAGTCTTTGCTATTGTAAACAGTGCTGCAATGAACATACATGTGCATGTGTCTTTATAACAGAACGATTTATAATCCTTTTGGTATATGCCCAGTAATGGGATTACTGGGTCAAATGGAATTTCTATTTCTAGGTCCTTGAGGAATCACCACACTGTCTTCCACAATGGTCGAACTAATGTACACTCCCACCAACAGTGTAAAAGTGTGGGTGTTTCATAGATGCCCTTCATCAGTTCAAGAAAGTTCTCTACTTTTCCTAGCTTATTGAGAGTTGTTATCATTAATTCCTGTTGGATTTTGTCAAGTGCTGTTTCTGCATTTATTGAGATGATCATGTGGTTTTTGCTGGAACCAATTTTGGTGTTTAGTTGAAACTCAATAATCCTTTTATTTTATATTTTTAATTTTTGTGGGTACATAGTAGGTATATATATTTATGGGTTACATGAAATATTTTGATATAGGTGTGCAATGCATAATAATCACGTTAGGGTAAATGAGATAACCATCACCTTAAGCATTTGTCCTTTGTGTTACAAACAATCCAATTATACTCATACTTATTTTTAAATGTACAACTTATTTTTGACTGCAGTCACCCTATTGTGGTAGCAAATACTAGGTGCTTTTAGTATATAACATTGCTGAAGTGATTTATATTTTTGTTAATTTAGCATTAGAACTAAAATTCATCTTATTAGTGGTATTTTATTTTTACTTATATTTAATTCTTATTAGCATACTCCTTTATTTTCAGTGTTGCCTGGTGTCATTAAAGCCACTGATAAAATTAAAGATAAAGATGTGGATTATGAGGATCTAAATACTTGTCTTCAAAATTTTGGTATTTACCTTTCTAAGCCAGAATTTAAGAAGATCACAGAATCGACTGAAGCTGGTGGTGAGTGATATATTTTCAGGCAAACTGTGTTGACACATCTGGAAGGAGGGTCAACTTGTTATTTTTTTCCTTAGAAAAATGATTAATTTTTTATTATAAAAAATTAATACAAAAATTATGAAAATACTCAAAAGTACAACAAAACACTCAAAAGCCCATTATTTAGAAATGACCGGTATTAATAGTCTTTTTAATTAAAAAAATGTTTAAATTTCTTTTTTCTTTTTTTTTTTTTAAATTGCATTTTAGGTTTTGGGGTACATGTGCAGAACGTGCAAGATAGTTGCCTAGGTACACACATGGCAGTGTGTTTTGTTGCCTTCCTCCCCTTCACCCATATTTGGCATTTCTCCCCATGCTATCCTTCCCTAGCTCCCCCCCTACTGTCCCTCCCCTATTCCCCCCAATAGACCCCAGTGTGTAGCACTCCCTTCCCTGTGTCCATGTGTTCTCATTGTTCATCATCCGCCTATGAGTGAGAATATGCGGTATTTCATTTTCTGTTCTTGTGTCAGTTTGCTGAGAATGATGTTCTCCAGATTCATCCATGTGCCTACAAAGGACACGAACTCATCATTTTTGATTGCTGCATAATATTCCATGGTGTATATGTGCCACATTTTCCCAGTCCAGTCTATCATCAATGGGCATTTGGGTTGGTTCCAGGTCTTTGCTATTATAAACAGTGCTGCAATGAACATTCATGTGCATGTGTCCTTATAGTAGAACGATTTATAGTCCTTTGGATATATACCCAGTAATGGGATTGCTGGGTCAAATGGAATTTCTATTTCTAAGGCCTTGAGGAATCGCCACACTGTCTTCCACAATGGTTGAACTAATTTACACTCCCACCAGCAGTGTAAAAGTGTTCTTATTTCTCCACATCCTCTCCAGCATCTGTTGTCTCCAGATTTTTTAATGATTGCCATTCTAACTGGCGTGAGATGGTATCTCAATGTGGTTTTAATTTGCATCTCTTTAATGACCAGTGATGATGAGCATTTTTTCATATGTTTGTTGGCCTCATGTATGTCTTCCTTTGTAAAGTGTCTGTTCATATCCTTTGCCCATTTTTGTTTGTTTTTTTCTTGTAAATCTGAGTTCTTTATAAATTCTAGATATCAGCCCTTTGTCTGATGGGTAAACTACAGAAATTTTTTCCCATTCTGTTGGTTGCCGATTCACTCTAGTGACTGTTTCTTTTGCCATGCAGAGGCTGTGGAGTTTGATTAAGTCCCATTTGTCTATTTTGGCTTTTGTTGCCAATGCTTTTGGTGTTTTGGTCATGAAGTCCTTGCCTACTCCTATGTCCTGAATGGTTTTGCCTAGATTTTCTTCTAGGGTTTTTATGGTGCCAGGTCTTATGTTTAAGTCTTTAATCCATCTGGAGTTAATTTTAGTGTAAGGTGTCAGGCAGGGGTCCAGTTTCTGCTTCCTGCACATGGCTAGCCAGTTTCCCCAACACTATTTATTTAACAGGGAGTCCTTTCCCCATTGCTTGTTTTTTTCAGGTTTATCAAAGATCGTATGCTTGTAGATATGTTGTGTTGCCTCTGTTGCCTCTGTTTTGTTCCATTGGTCTATATCTCTGTTTTGGTACCAGTACCATGCTGTTTTGATTACTGTAGCCTTATAGTATAGTTTGAAGTCTGGTAGTATGATGCCTCCCACTATGTTCTTTTTGCTTAGAATTGACTTGGCTATGCGGACTCTCTTTTGGTTCCATATGAAGTTCATGGTGGTTTTTTTCCAGTTCTGTGAAGAAAGTCAATGGTAGCTTGATGGGGATAGTGTTGAGTCTGCAAATTACTTTGAGCAGTTTGGCCATTTTCACGATATTGATTCTTCCTAACCATGAACATGGAATGTTTCTCCATCTGTTTGTGTCCTCTCTTACTTTGTTGAGCAGTGGTTTGTAGTTTTCCTTGAAGAGGACCCTTACGTTCCTTGTAAATTGTATTCCTAGGTATTTTATTCTCTTTGTAGCAATTATGAATGGCAGTTCGTTCTTGATTTGGCTCTCTTTAAGTCTGATATTGGTGTATAGGAATGCTTGTGATTTTTGCACATTGATTTTATATCCTGAGACTTTGCTGAAGTTGCTTATCAGTTTCAGGAGTTTTTGGGCTGAGACGATGGGGTCTTCTAGGTATACTATCATGTCATCCGCAAATAGAGACAATTTGGCTTCCTCCTTTCCTATTTGAATACCCTTTATTTCTTTTTCTTGCCTGATTGCTTTGGCTAGAACTTCCAGTACTATATTGAATAGGAGTGGTGAGAGAGGGCATCCTTGTCTAGTGCTGAATTTCAAAGGGAATGCTTCCAGTTTTTGCCCATTCAGTATGATATTGGCTGTTGGTTTGTCATAATTAGCTTTTATTATTTTGAGATACGTTCCATCGATACCGAGTTTATTGAGGTTTTAGCATAAAGGGCTGTTGAATTTTGTCAAATGCCTTCTCTGCATCAATTGAGATAATCATGTGGTTTTTGTTTTTGGTTCTGTTTATGTGGTGAATTACGTTTATAGACTTGCGTATGTTGAACCAGCCTTGCATCCCCGGGATGAATCCTACTTGATCATGATGTGCTGTTGCAGTCGGCTTGCCAATATTTTATTGAAGATTTTTGCATCTATGTTCATCATGGATATTGGCCTGAAGTTTTTTTTTCTTGTTGAGTCTCTGCTGGGTTTGGGTATCAGGATGATGTTGGTCTCATAAAATGATTTGGGAAGGATTCCCTCTTTTTGGATTATTTGGAATAGTTTCAGAAGGAATGGTACCAGCTCCTCTTTGTGTGTCTGGTAGAATTTGGCTGTGAACCCATCTGGACCTGGGCTTTTTTGTGTGATAGGCTCTTAATTGCTGCCTCAACTTCAGACCTTGTTATTGGTCTATTCATAGTTTCGGCTTCCTCCTGGTTTAGGCTTGGGAAGACACAGGTGTCCAGGAATTTATCCATTTCTTCCAGGTTTACTAGTTTATGTGCATAGAGTTGTTTGTAATATTCTCTGATGATGGTTTGAATTTCTGTGGAATCTGTGGTGATTTCCCCTTTATCGTTTATTATTGCATCTATTTGGTTATTCTCTCTTTTCTTTTTTATCAGTCTGGCTAGTGGTCTATTTTGTTGATCTTTTCAAAAAACCAGCTCTTGGATTTATTGATTTTTTGAAGGGTTGTTTGTGTCTCTGTCTCTTTCATTTCTGCTCTGATCTTAGTTATTTCTTGTCTTCTGCTAGGTTTTGAGTTTTTTGGATCTTGCTCCTCTCTTTCTTTCAATTTTGACGATAGGGTGTCAATTTTGGATCTCTCCACTCTTCTCATGTGGGCACCTATTGCTATGTATTTTCCTCTAGACACTGCTTAAATTTATTTTTTAAGTAGTCTTAGGCAAACAAAAAGAAAGCAGAATTTGTGATATTGCTATCTGACAAAGTAGAAGTCATTCTTCTTTAATGCTACCTGAAAAGCATTAAATGGGGGAAATAAGGATTCATTATTATGTCAAAGCCTACAATTCACAATAAAGGTATATCAGTTTTGAGTATCTGTGCCCATATAACCTAGCAGCAGCTCTTCTAAAGGGAAAGGGTGAAAGTGGCTAGACAGGAGATGGGAGTTATAGGTGAAATAACCATGTCTATAAGTTGATAATTGTTGATGCTAGAGATAGTACATGGACATATTACACTAGCTTTTTATTTTGTATATATTTAATGTTTTCCATAGTAAAAAGTAAAAAAAGGAACAAATCTAAGTTGTATAATACCTGTATAGAGAAAATAAGACTTTGTGAAGACATTAAAATCTAGATAAATAAGGAGGTATCCCATGTTTGTGGATTCAGAGACCCAAGACGGTCAATTCTCTAATTAACCTATTTATTCAAAAGAATTCTAATAAAACTCTGACTTTTCTGTAAGCTAATTCTAATATTTATATGAATGACCAAAGGCTAAGAATAGCTAAAACATTCCTGAAGAAGAACATTTGTGGAAATATGTGTGGGGGGGAGTGAGGATTGTGGGGGAACTTGCTCTCCTGGATATAAATACTCCTGATAAAGCTATAGTGATTAAACAAGTATGAGAATGGTACAGGGATAGAGAAATTTACCAATGGGACAAGATAAGGAACTTCCAAACATATCCACAAACATACATGGCAATATATATGATAAAGTGGTGGGTCACTGGGAAAAGAAGGACCATTTAATAAATGTTACTGAAATAATTACTTATTCGAATGGTAAGAATAGAGTTAGATGCCTGTCTCATACCATATTCAATTGAAATTTCCAGGTGTGAAACTAAGTTTTAGAAAACAAATAGAAGAAAAATTTTCTGACTTAGGAAGGATTTTTAAAGATAGAAAACAAGAAACTGGAAAAGATTGATAATTTTGACTACATTAAGAGCTTCACTTTGTTAAAAGATACGTCAAAAAGAATAAAATATAAGCCACAAACTGGATATTTGCAACACTTAGAACAGCGATGATTATTGTAGAGAGTATATAGGCACCTTTTACAAACTAACAACTCAATAGAAATTATAAAAAATTTCCACAAGTTGCTAATGATCACATGAAAAGGTTCTCAACATCATTAGTAATTAGGGAAATGCAAATTTTAGGTCATAATGAGATACTTAAAAAAAAGACAGATCTTTTGGCCTCAAACTCCTGGGCTCAAGCAAATCTCCCACCTCAGCTTCTTGAGGCACAAGCTACCATGCCTGGCTCATGAGATAAATTTTTATGTCCACTAAATTGGGAAAAACTAAGAAATATGTTAATCTAAGTATTGGTAAATATGGTGAAAGTGGTAAAACCACTTTGGAAAACAATATGTAGTATCTTGTAAAGTTTGCACATCCCTTGGTTTAGAAATACTATTCATAGCTATAAATCCTAGAAAATCTCTTGCACTTAAGTACTAGGAAACATATTCAGGAATGTTCATGGCAGCACTGATCTTAATGGCAAAAACGGAGAAAGAAAACAACATGACATTCATCCACAGAATGTATAAATAAATTGTGGTATACATCATTGTGTATTCATACAATGGAAACGCCATCTCTACTAAAAACACAAAAATTAGCCGGTGTGGTGACACAGCTGTAATCCCAGCTACTTGGGAGACTGAGGCAGGAGAATCACTTGAACCTGGGAGGTGGAGGTTGCAGTGAGCTGAGATTGCATCACTGTACTCCAACGTGGGCAGCAGAGTGAGTGAGACTCCATCTCAAAAATAAAGAAATAAAAATAAAATTAAAAATATTATGTATGTTTAACAGGGACTGGAAGAATTTTGACCAGTTTTCTTGGTGTTTTTCAGCATTTACTTTTCTACTGTAAATTGAATTGCTTTTCCCCTTTATACTTATGTATTTTTATTGGTTAGTATTACCTGATGGATGTAATTATATATTTCTGAATATATAACTTATTTACATAATTGAATTTTTTCATGATAATTTAATACTTAAAAGATACTGAAGAAAATGTGTTTCTTTTCCTGTAGAAATAGAAAAAGTAAATTTTAAAGAATTCAGTGATACTATGATGAGCAACACAGAATGCTTCTCTGAAAAATTATGTATGTATTAATATATGTCTTCTGCTTTTTATGGACCAAATGGTTTGATAGATTTTAGAAGAGCATAAATACTCTTTTGGTCTCTTATAGAGCTAGTTATCCTGCAGGTCATCAGACAAATGTCTGGCTTCCTGCTGCTATATCTGGCCTTAATCTCTAGTTGCCCCTAATTCTAGAATGCCTTCTACATGCACGTGAATTAAAAGCTATCATAATTTTACTTTTCATTAGCACACTTGTAATAGAGAGCTAGAACTATGTATAGCATTCATCTTGGGGAAAGATTTAAAATGTCTTTTCACTTGGGAAAAATGATACCCACTAGTGGCTGAGTACTACTATGAGAATTTCTGGTTATATCTGTTCCAATTTCTTTCCATCTTCCAATTTATTCAGTAACATTTATGAACCGCTAATATGTAGTAGGCTTTATTTTAAGCTGTAAGTGTGGTAATATGAAAAAGATAGCTTTGCCACTCAAAAGCTCACCATAAAGAAATATAAGGTCACACGTGCATATTTTTAATGAAGTGAAGTTAGTATGCATTCTAAAAATTGGGGCCAAAAGTAACATTGTGTTATTTTGTGCTTACATGTTGGGTAATAGTAGATTTGAAGTAGAAGCTCTTTTTACCTCACAATATAAGATTTAATTTGTCTCCTATACAATGGTACATCATACAGAGATATTGTTTTGTCAGTTACTTCATTTTTCCTAGGAATTTCAGTTTTATGGAGATTAAAATCTTAGCACAGAGTTATATAGTATATTACCTTGTCTATCTGTCATTATATTTCATTTCTCATTGTTAATGTTGCATGTTTATGTTTGCTTCTTTTTTCTTCATTAGACTGCTCAGAGCATGTCATCTTTATTGGTTCCACATACCTGATTGAGACCTTACAGTCGTTTACCCCTCCACTTTCTCCTAATCCATCAATCTCCTCCTGTTTTCACTTTTCTTCCTGTTCAGTTTAAATTATCTTACCTGTATATACCTAATACCCTAGACTATCTTGCCTCTGTGTACTTTTGTTGAACCTATCTGGCAAAACTCTCAACCCAGAATGAAACTAATTGCTTGCCTTCTTGTATCTGACAGCATTTCTGGAGAAAATCACATAGCTATGAAGATTATACAGTTATAAATAAAATCTTGGTCACTAACTGTCTAACTAACTGACCCTTCCTAACTGTCTAATCTTCCTGAGAATCCATTCTCTATATAGCAGCATAGTGACTTTTTACAAATTTGTAGTAAGATAATTTCTCTCCCTTGTTTAAAATGCTCCAATGATTTTGAATTGAAATAGTCTATCTTTTTGTTGTCTACTGTGATAGACAGAAGAGGAAGTAGGAGACAGGAAAATTTTAGGGAGGGATATAGAACAAAAGCTTCTTAATTGTTTTATCAATTGAAAATGTTTCTGAATTCATACTTAAAAAAATCTAAATTCAATCACAATTATCATTTATAATGATTATTCATGGTTGAGGTCACTGTAAGTTCTTAAAATATTTTAAGATCCTTAAAAATAATTATATTAGAGGTTAAATATTTTATTATATTTTGATATTTGAAAGTTGGCAATTCATTTATGCTATATTTATTATTCTTTTAAGCCAGAAAAACCTTAATTTTTGACTTCCAGATGACAGTTTACTGTATTAACTTCTTGGATAAGCATTTGTAAAACTTGTGTTTTATCTACCCTTTAGTATTACCTGATGCTATTGAAGCCCTCGACAATCTCAGAAAGGAGACAATGAGTGTTTCTGACCTGTGGAATACTCTGTCTAGTTTGAATAATAATTTAAAAAAGGATGAGTTCCTAGATGCGTTGAAAGTAGTGACAGTTGATGGTGAGTGTAACAAATACTAAAATTAAAAAGTATACAAAGATATTACATTTTCTGTCAACTGTTATTTGTCATGTATCTTGTACTTGGTGAGATGGAGTGTTCCAATATGATTGAAATGCTAATATATGCATTTAGGAAATACTAAATAAAGAAAGTTCAGATTGTTTGGCTATGCAATATAAAACTTAAAAAAATTATTATATCACTTATTATTACTCTAAATTGATCAAATATGCATTGAGTACCTTCAAGTTGCATGGTATGTTACCAGAAAATGGTGTATCCCAATGAACACAGAGGGCAGGATTAGGAAGTGTTAAGAGATCTATTCAAATTCCATAATAACAGTACTTGGAATATTCATACTGTTTTGTTGAAATAGGCTTTTATTTAATTTGGTAGAAAAATACACCTGCTAATAGCTACTATCTCTACTTAGGAAGTTAAAAAAAGTAAACAAAATAAAAACAAAGTTCAAAAAAGTATTGTATAACAAAGACTATAGACTAAAAATTTAAAGTAAATCTCCATCATTTACTGCTGATATTCTACATGCAGCAAAGAGTACACAGGCTACAGGTAGACATTCTACTCTTTCATATTCTTAGTGCCCAGAAGTTAAAAAAAGGGCCTAGTAGTTTTATTCTTTTATGTGGAATGTTTATACAGAACTAGCTTTGTAACATGAACACATTGTCAGGGGTCTTTGTCAAAGAACTGTCTTTTTCTTTGACAAAGATCCCTTACAGTGTGCTCATGTTTATTATCCTTTTCATCCATGAAGCTTCTGTTTAGTTGAGGCTAGCAAAATTGAACTTTTTTTGTATTGATTATTTTGTTTATTGGGAGATTTGAGGTGAAAAGGGTTGATGAAAAAAGGCTAATTTCTTTTCTTTCTTTCTTTCTTTTTTGAGATGGAGTCTTGCTCTTGCTGCCTAGGCTGGAGTGCAGTGGCGCAATATCTGCTCACCACAACCTTTGCCTCCCAGGTTCAAGCCATTCCCAAATAGCTGCCTCAGCTTCCTGAGTAGCTGGGATTACAGACATGTGCCACCATGCCTAGCTAATTTTGTACTTTTAATAGAGATGGGGTTTCTCCATGTTGGTCAGTCTGGTCTCGAACTCCCAAGCTCAGGTGATCTGCCCTCCTTGGCCTGCCAAAGTGCTATGCTGGGATTACAGGCATGAGCCACCACCCCTGACAAGAAGGCTAATTTCTACTCAATAATATAGATTTTCTTCCCTTTTTCTCTGTGGCAGTGCTTCAGGGTCTTTTGTTGATGTTAATGGAATTTATAGGCAACATGTTCTTCAGAAAGTAGTAGATAGCTTTTATTTGAACCAGACCAATAAAGTATTATTTTTTGAGATATGAAAATAACTAGGAAAGTATTATGTTAGTAAAAACTCATATATTGTGTTTATTATTCTTTTTTGGTGGGGGGGGTGGGATAAGGTCTTTCTTTGTGACCCAGGCTGGAGTGCAATCTCAACTCACTGCAACCTCTGCCTCCCGGGTTCAAGCAGTTCTGCTGCCTCTGCCTCCAAGTAGCTGGGACCACAGGCACACAGCACTACGGCTAGCTAATTTTTTGTAGAGATGGAGTTTTGCCGTGTTGCCCAGGCTGGTCTCAAGCTCTGAGCTCAGGTGATCTACCAGCCTCGGCCTCCCAAAGTGCTGGGATTACAAGCGTGAGCTACGGTGCCAGGCCTGTGTTTATTATTCTGTACTTATGAAGCAAAAGACAGTATATAAAATGCAGATTATTTTACCATTTAAGTCTAAATATACACATGATATTGAAAACTATATCTGTACCCCATTCATCATATCTTTTCTTCTTTTAACATTGTGCCCGTAGTACAAAGGTATTTAGTTCTTATTTTAATGCAGTGGTTTGTAAAATTTTGAGATTTGTTATTTTTGTTTATATTTGATATTGTTAAAGCAGAATCCTTTTTTTCCAAATTAAATCTTATATAGTATCCTAATATATAAAATATTAAAGTTGAGCTTCTCTGACCAGAGTGGGAGAAATGACCAAGTGAACTGCTGAAACAACTCCACAAGACCTTAGAAATATAAGGAAGAACTTAAAATTACTGATGTAGGGTATTCTTTTGACCAGGTTTTGTTAAAAAGGAAAAAAAAGAAAACCTAAAAAACAACAGATTCAGATTCTCTCTAGTAAAATTGAAGAGTGAGTTCTTGGTTATTGATGGTATTTCATATTGACTCCTTAATATTTTAAAATATATTTAAAATTAAAAATAGTTTTATGATGATTACAAAAAAGCACTGAAAAATAGAAAGGGTAATTTACACTCAGCAAATTCAGAAATGCTATCCAAATATCTAGTTATATTCAGTGTTGAGCAAAAGTATGTAAGATGGTATGGAAAATGGTCAAGGTGAATGTGAGACACTGAATCTATAGGCTAAGAATTAGATGGAGGAGATTATTAATAGGTATTGTTAGGCATTTAAGGCCTGGCACATTCTCTTCACTGCTGGTGGTTTCTCCAGCTTTATTTGTTTCAGATTTTTAATCTTAAACTGATATTCTCTGTTTCTCCTGACTCTGATATCTGATGTGGTTGAAATTAGCTTAATAACTGTTTTTTTTTCTGCTTGGCAGCACGACTCTGAACTTAATCTTCATGATTTTTTATGCAATATGCATTCAAGCCAGATCTGAATCTTTGTTGACCTCAGATGGCTCCCTGCTTCCTTTCTTCCCTTTCCCTCCCTCCCTCCTTTCCTTCCCCTCCCGCTCTCCTTCCCTCCCTCCCAGAATTTTCAGTAGCTGTGATTTAGTTCTACTTGATGAAACGTACCAAGAACTAGATTCGGAGGGGACTCCATTTAGGTGACTGAGGTACAATACCCGCTGCCTACTTTAAGCTCATCTTGAAGCTCCTATAAATTGAAGATGCTTAATTGAGAAGGTCTTTATGTAACATGGCCTTAGAATATTTGATTATGTAACCTTGCTGATTAATGTGAGGCTAGTGGAAAGCCATCCTGAGTGGTATAAAGGTATAAAAGAAGCATGGGAAATGGAATGCACACTTTCTATACTACTCTACCGTTTTTTCCCATCAGAGAGAGAACACAGAATCAGGGGCAGAGCCTTTACAGTTAGTAATATATAGGAATGCTGCAATAAAGACATGTGTTTTTACTGTAGAGAATAGTTCCTAAAAGTTCAAGTGTTAATTTAAAGCCAAGGTAGATAGAAGGTGACACATCATTAATTGGAGCTATATACTTAAGCCCTGTTCAGGCTTTTATCTGCTGGTGACACATTTTGCTTGTTGTGCATTGTTCTACTCTATGATAGTAAACTACAGTGTTTCTAAATCCTAAGCTTCCTTATTCCTGTGTGGAAAAAACAAAGCTATTTCTACTTCCTGTGCTTGTCACTTTAACTTTGTAATCTAGTACTTGTGTATTGTGTAAGAAATGGGTGAAAACACCTGTCAGAAATTATAGTCATAGGCCTATCAGGCACTGAAAGAAGTCTTTAAAGTTTTGTAGGGTAGAATTTGTATCTTTAAACAATTGAAAGACAAAACTAAGACTGAGGTATGTCTCTTAATTTTATCTAGGAATATATCTTGGTTTTGGGATATCCATTCAAGCCAGATCGGAATCTTATCCATATTTTGGGAATATGGATTGAGTTATTTCCATTGATTGATTGAGAACTCAGCCTGACTTCTATAGTCTTAATATTTATTAATTCCATAAAATTAATCTGTTGGTTACTGAAAATATGAAAAGGAACTATGATTCTTATGAGTACATCAAATGGTTTACATTTTTATAGGTTGCTTTATTGGATATGACTTTTGCTTAATGAGGTTGGTCTATTAAAAGTATTTTTTTTTTCCTCACAGAAGACGATAAAGTACAATTCGAAGAATTTGCAAAAGTAGTAAAGAATATGCATGATGCTTCCAGGTTAAAGGGTAAGTACTGAATTATTTATAATGGTTAGATTTACTTTTATTGAAAGGACTCGTTTTTTGTTTTTTAATGTTATGTGTTCAGCTAATTTCTGGTTAACATGTTGGGACTGATATGTTTACACACAGACAAAATTTAGTTTTGATTAAAAGTTGGCTGGCATATAGGAACTTGGTTTTGATTAAAAGCTGGCTGACAATAAGGATGAGCCTAGCCTCAGAGCTCTTAACTTCAAAAGGCCTTTATTTCTTTTCCAAAGTTATCCACACCAATGGCTATCCTTAATCCTTATCGTTACCTAGAATTGTCTATTCCACCTTTAAAATCTTAAACTACAAGGTCAGACACTGACCATATTCCCTTAAAATTACACGTGTAGATATCGAAAGAAGGCATAGAACTTTATTCATACTATGCCTATTCTTTTGGCCCCTCCAAGTTCTTTAAATAGTCTAGACATAGCATACCAGCTTTATCAGTTAATAATGAAGGATACATTCTGAAAGCCAAGCTCCTATATGCTTGGCTTTCAGAATGTATCCTTGATTTCTTCCGTTTCCCTCCTCCTCCCTCCCTCCCTCCCTTCCCTCCCTCCCTTTCTCCGTCCCTCCCAGAATTTTCAGTAGCTGTGATTTAGTTCTATTTGATTATACGGACCAAGAACTAGATTCGGAGGGGGCTCCATTTAGATGACTAAGTTACAATACCCATTGCCTACTTTAAACTGATCTTTAAGCTCCTATAAATTGAAGACAGTTAATTGAGAAGGTCTTTATGTAACATGGTCTTAGAATATTTGATTATGTAACCTTGCTGATTGATGTGAGGCTAGGCTCTTCCTTATTGACATTGGATGATAATGGGATGAGAGGTAGAAGGAGGATTATGATTGAAGTGCCAAAATCTTCAGAGAATGTGAAGGAGTGATTGGACAGTAAATCAATAATGTTGTCAGGAGAGTGGCATAGTTGAATGACAGGCCTGAGCCTCAAGGGAGAAGGATAAGTTTTGATTGAAGGTGAAACTAAAATGGCCTGACAGTAGCAGCAGAAAGACAGGAAAATGCTATTCTGCTTCCTGGTCCTACAGTCTGTGGAGCATGGGAAGATGGGCAGACTCCACTCAGGGTGGTTGTGTAAGAAAACTGTTTTTAAAGGAAATCAAGTGCTAAGACAAAAAAGCAGAGCTGGTACAGTTGTTTTGGGTGTCAGCAATTTCAGATTGCCATCTGTAGTTGCCTCCCAGTGACGTTAGGGAAACAGGAAAGTGAGGTAGGATATAAAGTTTAAACTGTGATTACTATTTGCAGCTAGTTTCTGTTGGTTTTAATAATAATAGCAGTAAAACTAATTTTACTCTATAATTATGACGTTTATTGAGGCATTATTATATGCCTAATGCTGTCTTAAGTACTTTTTATCCATTATTATATTTACTGTTCACATCAACCTTGTGAGGTAGATATTAGTATTATCCCATTTTAGATGAAAGAGAGGTTAAGTAGTAATAATTTGCTCACAGTTACCTAGTTCCAGGTTACATGTCCTGGAGCCAGAATTTGAATGTGGGTCTGACTTAACCAGGGCTGGAAATGAAGCAACATTTTAGATGATAGGGTACAATTGAGTCCTGGTGGAATTGAAAAGGATAACGCAATGAGCCCTTGTAAATCTTGTCCCATATTTTGCATTTTTCATGATTCTGAAAGTCATTTTGCCTATATCTTGATGAGTTAATTTTGTTTGCTTCCATTAGAGGTCCATAGCAAAATACTTTGTATAATTGCAGTAAAAAATTTCACTATATGACTGATTTTGGTTGTGCAAATTTTATAAAAGCACCAGGGAAATATCACAGATCAAGAGAACCCTTTGCACATTGTGCTTCTGGTCATAGAATTCTATGAGGGCTGAATTTCTCTTGAGATTTCTTATTCCTCGTTCAGGATGTAATAATAAACTATGGATTTCTACTAACAAATGTCTTGAGTGATGGCTGCTGCTTTTGTTTTTTTAACAAGAGGTTAGTTTAATTATTAAATAACATTTTTCTACTTGTAGAGTTACAAGAAGTTGTCTTAGCTGCTGATTTGCTTGAAGGTGACATGATAGCTGAGAAGAACTTGGAAGACTTCCTAAGAAATATTGGTATTAAGTCACCTAAAGAAGAAGTACAGAAAATTCTTCAATCAGATTTTGTTTCTGGTAAGCATTTTAAATATTACTCTCAGAGTTTTTTTTTTTTTGTATGAATACCTATAAAGAAGATGTGCAAGGTCTATAGATATTTGCTTATATTACTATAAATGTAATCTTTGAAACGGAGCCTTTCCTCTTAATGTCCTCTTTCACAGTTATGAGAATACTTTTATATAACAGGTCTAGATTTAGTGAAAGTGGGCTTGTTAGAATCCTCTCTCCTCATTGCTATCTTGATTTAGTGAATAAAGAACATCTTAAGAATTCAAGTTCTGTGAATAGAAATCCTAGCTTTCTACCTTGACCAAATTACTGCTCAAAGTTTACTGGGGCTTTCTTGGTACTTCAGTTCCCATTGTAGGTAGAATCAGAACTACTATACTTACAACACTGTAGGGTTATTGCAATGCTTACTGGATGGAAATGAATCTAAAATTGCCTTGTAAATAAAATGTTCAAGAAATATATGTTACATGCTGATTTTGATGCTAGTCTTTAAGTATTACTTTGTCCAGGGGTTCTCGTTTGTCATCTCTCTCTTTTTGTTGCAGAAGATAACATGGTGAACATTAAAGACTGTATGAGGGCTTTGAGGGACACCCAGAAATTTTCCAATTATATTGGTAAGAGCTTTATGGTAAAACTGTTAGAAGGCAACAATACAGGACTTATTCAAAGTTCATCTAGTAAAGCACTAAATTTGGTGTTTAAATCTTCTTTATAGTATCTGTGCCAAATATTTGTTTCATATGTACTTGAACACTTCCAGTTATGGGGAACTTCCTGCATTTTATTTTTAAATTTAAGAATTGTACATGTTTGATTGGCGATTGGAGAAAATGACAAGGCTATGATCTTTTCCAATAGTTAAAATAAGACACCTTTATTATATATGAATGAATAGTTCTTTTTAATGTTGTAAAAAATTTAAATGACCAAGAATGTAGTATAAAGTGCAATTCTTGTAACGTCACCCTCCAGAAATATCCCTATTAAGGTTTGGTGGTATCCTTTTAGGCTTTCTTCTTTATATCCATCCATGATATTGCACAACTTGTGTGCAATATATGACAGTATATCTTAGATATAATTCTGTTCCATTGTATTATATAAACCTACCTCATTTTTAAAAAAAAGACTGCCTAATATTCTGCTAGAGGAATGTACTATAATTTTGTCTATAAAACTTTTAATAAATATTTAGGCTATTGCCATTTTTTACTATTAACAAACATTTGGTGAGTATCCTTGTACATATATCTTTGTACACATTGCACACAATTTTTCTGTAGGACAAATTCCTTAGAAGTGGACTTGCTGGGCCAAAGTATTTTTAGATGCAAACGCTTAACAAGCTACTGCCTAATTACCCTCCTAAAAATTTGTGGAAATTCACACTTTCATTAACAGTGGTTATTATTTATTAAAAATTCTGATAGGAGCATTAATACTTTGTCTTACCCATTTCAGGTTTTTTTCTAGTTTATTATTGATTTTTTTACTTTGTTTTTGGTGGATTGCTTTTTACTATCTTTTGTCTTATTTTGTCATTTTGGTAATTTGATTCTCATAGGAAATTTTAAATTTTATTGAGGTTTAAAATGACTTAGAATATTAGGACAGTTCTATGTACTTATAATTATTTTGATTTTTTGTATATATGGTTATTTTCTTATTCTTAAATATACATATATATGTATATAAACTATATATATATATATATATATTACTTCTTTGTTTGCTACTGAATGTTCTATTATCTCTGTTTTTAAAGTACTAGCTCTTGGGTTTATCTTTAGTGTTTCTGTTTATATTTTAAAAATTAATTTCCTGTTTTATCTTTAGTAAGTTATTTATATTGTTCTCTTATGCTCATTTAATAGCTTTTCTAATTTCTTATTTAAATTATTTATTTTCTTTATTTTTTTTTCTTGCTGAGTAATAAACATGTTTAAGGTGGTCAATTTTAATTTTAGTGAAACTTTGATTTATTTGAGTCTCTGACTTGTTAGGCTATTATTATTGTTATTTTATAAACATTTCCAGTTGCATTTTGATTTTCCTCTTGATCTGAGAGTTACTTAGGAGGAAACTTTAAATTTCAAAGCAATTTAAATGTCATTATTGCCTGAAGTTTGTTGTTTATATCTAGTTGTATTTTATTTTGGTCAGAGAATGAGTTCTATAATAGAGAGTTTAATAGTTCTCTGGTTCATTAGGGACAGAATTCCCTCAATCTTTGTATTTACTATTTAGAAATCAAAATCAAATTAGTTGGTTACAGGGATAGGCTAGGTAAGGTAAATTCACTCATTTCACTCTTTGTCTTGGAAGTCCATATGACTTTTTCAAGTAGTTCATTCCATAATTTTGGACAGGTACAGAACTAGAAAATTACTTCACATATTTTGTGGAAATCCATTCCTGAAACCATATTTAACATTTGGACTCTTCCTGCCATTAATAGCCCTTGAGAAATGTCAAGATAACTCACATATTCTCGTTCTTTCCTACTAAATTCATATTCTCTCTAGACTCAGATATACTTTCAACTCTTCTTCATGACCTGTTTTTGAAACTTCTTACCAATGATTAGTGACTATATCATATAACAAAATCCTGAGAGATGCCTTTTTAGAAATATACTTTGGAAATGTGAACTTCTAAAGTTTTTTTAGATCAAGAGAGGTCAGCCATGGTCTTCCTAGTTTATATGTTTGTTACTGTGCTAAACATAAGAGACTATGACCATTCTCTAAAATGGGTAAAGTTAGCAAGGGATGCAGGGAAGGAAAGAGAAAAATTGGTATTTAGGAGGAGTTGTGAGGAACGAAGAGGACTTTACTGAAATGTTGAGCTTATTGAGACAGTAACTAGAGAAACTTCATCATACTTTTGTCTGTAGCAGACAAAACCCAGACATTTAACAAAAAGAAAAGGGTTATTTTAAACTATTAGAGTTCCAAATAGAAAGCTATTAGAGTGGAGAAAACTACTGAAATAGGGTTATAGAAAATTATCAGAGTAGAGAATGGACCACTCTGTACATTTAAATGGGCACATGGGGCTGGTGACTGCCTTATGGGACATTATAGATCTCAAAGAGGCCATCAGTTTTATTGTTATGCTCAAAAGATTTAGATCCATGTACTGAATTACATGTTGTATATATATTCTCTGTTTGTAGCATTGAATGAGACTATCAATACATTGGACTCCATGAAAGAAAATTGTCAGTTCGTCAAAGACAAAAATTCAGATGTACTTGAAAACACTGATAGGCTTGCTTTTACTCATGACATTCTTCAGGAAATAATGGGTGACTCTTTTGTTGACAGTGAGTTGATTTGGCAGATAACCAGCAGCTTGTGTAAAAAATTTTCTCTGAATTTTATTTAGTTTTTTTAAATTTTTTTAATTTAGGAAGGTCGGCCATGGGGTTCCTAGTCCAAATGTTTTATATTACTTTTCTTCTAAATTTTTATCCAAGGATTTCAAACTGTTTTACCAAGTACTAATTAAGTCTTAATACTTGGTCCCTTAATCACACCATTAACTTGTTGGACACTTTACTGAAGAACATATTTAGGTCACCACGTTGTATGTGCCAACAGAGATTTAGTCATTAGAGTATCAAGTTTCTTGGTGATCTGATGACCTGGATTGTAAAATTGGTCTCAGAGTATTTATATATTTTGTTGCATGGCTTTGAAGAAGAATTTTATTTCAAAGTTAATCCTTTTTCTTTTATGTGTTTTAGAGAAGTCTTAATGGTTTTGTAACTTTCTGTTTTTGGGTGAAAGTCCCTTTGAGAAGTACAAGATATTGTTGAAAAATTTAAAATATGTTTATTTCTATAGCCAATTGTAAGTGTTGGCTATAGAAGGATCAGCAACCTGATCCTTCTATATACCCTCAACTTGGATGTACTGAGGTAGATTTTACCCCATATTTAGATAGCCATTTCCTGGCCATACTGCCCAAAGTAATTTATAGATTCAATGCTATCCCCATCAAGCTACTATTGACTTTCTTCACAGAATTAGAAAAACTACTTTAGATTTCATATGGAACCAAAAAAGAGTCTGCATAGCCAAGACAATCCTAAGCAGAAAGAACAAAGCTGGAGGAATCACACTACTTGACTTCAAACGATACTACAAAACAGCATGGTACTGGTACCAAAACAGATACATAGACCAATGGAATAGAACAGAGACCTCAGAATAACACCACACATCTACAACCATCTGATCTTTGACAAACCTGACAAAAACAAGCAATGGGGAAAGGATTTCCTATTTAATGAATGGTGTTGGGAAAACTGGCTAGCCATATGCAGAAAACTGAAACTGGACCCCTTCCTTACACTTTATACAACAATTAACTCAACATAGATTAAAGGCTTAAATGTGAGACCTAAAACCATAAAAACCGTAGAAGGAAACCTAGGCAATATCATTCAGGACATAGGCATGGGCAAAGACTTCATGACTAAAACACCGAAAGCAACGGCAACAAAAGCCAAAATTGACAACTGGGATCTAATTAAAGAGCTTCTGCAAAGCAAAATATCATCAGAGTGAACAGGCAACCTATGGAATGGGAAAAAATTTTCACAATCTATCCATCTGACAAAAGTCTAATATCCGGAATCCACAAGGAACTTAAACAAATTTACAAGAAAAAAACAACCCCATCAAAAAGTGGGCGAAGGATATGAACAGACATTTCTCAAAGGAAGACATTTATGTAACCAACAAACTTATGAAAAAGAGCTCATCATCACTGGTTATTAGAGAAATGCAAATCAAAACCACAATGAAATACGATCTCACACCAGTTGGAATGGTGATCATTAAAAAGTCAGGAAAGTGGGACTCAAGATGGCGCGGTGAGAACAACCCAGGATTGAAGCTCTCAGTGAACGCGAGGAGGGTGAGTCAGGGCCGCATTTCCAGACGGATCTTTGTTGCCCACAGAACGGGGAAATTCTCAGGTATAAAAGAGACGTGGGACGCCAGCGAAGCGGTTTTGGCTGGTGCAGCCGGTGGCCAGTGCAGCCGGCGGCCGGCGCTGCAGTGCAGCGGTGCTCTACAGCGCTCCGCACAAAGCGCACTGGTCCAGGTGCCCTGTTGAACTGGCAATCTGAGACTTGAGAGGGCAGATTGGCATATTCATCTGATTGAACGGGACTTGGACAGTGAGCCAGGCCAGGAGATTCCAGGGAAACGGCGTTTGGGCCAGGGCAGTGGGACAAACAAAACGGCGATTCCAAACGCTCCGGGTGGAGAGTTTCACTGTGGGCACAGCTGAACCCAGGACGGTGCAGCTCGGTGGGGGAGGGGCGTTTGCCATTACCAAGGCAACCCACCCCTACTGAGGTACACTCCCATTGCTGACGCAGCCTGCTATTGCCAAGGCAACCCACCACAACAGAGAGACTCCACTGCAGGGTGTAGCCTGTGGCAGCAGGGCAGAGACCACAGCAGCAGGGCAGAGCCTGCAGCTACAGGGCGGACCTCACAATGGCAGGGCGGAGCCTTGGCAGGCAAATAGTGACTAGACTGCCTCCTAGCTGGGCAGGACAGCACAACGGACACATAAAGAAAACCCCAACCCC